TTAATGTGTCACTTTCCAACACCGGGTGAGACAGGAACGAGTAAATGATGTGTTGAGATTATGGACACTTTGTCCGTCGTGAACCGTGGACGCTTTAATAAGTTAAAGAAAAGTAACATTGGTGAATTTCTGCAAAATCTTTATCATTCACCATTTTTCAAATTTATAAAGGGAGCCTCGTCGTCCATGGATGAGAAATTGACTCTGTGAAGTTGGGCGTGCCTTGGTCATGGGTTCGAATCCGGGTTTGCGCTTACCATTTTTGTATTTCTGTCTGCAGGAATAGACTTCGTGAATTTCACCAAAGTAGTAAACGTGCATGGCCTGAGACCCTTACCGTCCCTCTCTCCAATAAAACTGTGACTCACACACGCACATACGCACACACACGTATTCACTCACTCATTCACTGACTGACGTCAGTCATTTCTGAAAATGTCTTGTTACTGATAACAGTATATTGATAAACAACACAGGTCCAGTTTTATTGGATTATATAATATACATGAATGTCGTTATTACTCTGTCCAGACTACAGTGGTTCTGTCCATGTTGGGCAGCGCGCCGTCTCCCACCACGTTCGGTGACGTGGCAGTTATCGGAACAGTTATGACTTTACCAATGTATGACTTCCAGCAGCGGTAATGTCGAACTGTGTAAATTGTTTGATTGTCATGTTTCCAGGATACTAACGAACATAGCTGTTGATAGAGAATGATCACACATGAGGCTAGCTCGAGTCAAACATGGTGATAGTGTCTCTATATTGAAGCACTTCCCTCTGTTTTACTTCTGGGTTAGCATCACCTCTATTAAACTATTCTCTAATGAGCTTTCATTTTCCTTTTACAATTAGCACTGGTAGGGAACTTGGTCACAGTGAGAGTGGAGTCTATGTGATTTTTACGACGGAAACTCTGCAATTTGTTACAGTGTCTTTGTGATTTTACAATCAGCAAGGGAAGGGTCATCCTCGATAATTTCCAGGGTATACGAGTACGTTCCAATAAATCTCCACTATACCCTGGATGCATCTACGGCTAGACCTGTTACCTCCATTGGTTGGCTTTTTGTCCAATCAGGTGTCTACGCTGGGAAGTTGAGGTACCAAACACAACTCACTTTCACTTTTTAAATTCTAAACGATTAAAACTTGGCAACATAATAATATGCTGTTGCAGAGGTACTCTGAAAGAGGTAGAAGGAGTTCTTGCATATATATTTTTAAGATTTCAGACCTGTCAATTTGTCTGTATGTTTTCCCCCCAAATCTGAGTCGCACTGCGAACCAACTTAGTTGACACTGGCAGGCTCGGATGTAACGGTGGCTAATCTGATTGGCTACTGTGAGAATGCGGAGCCAGCAAAGGGAGGTAATAAAATCTTCGGCTCGAGCTGTAGATGCATCCAGGGCATAGTGGAAATTTATCGGAACGTATACCCTGGTGATTATCGAGGATGGGGAAGGGTAAGGTATGGTAAATGGCCTGTATACCTACAAAATGAATATTACAAGAGAGTTGAATTCACATTTACTTACATTAGGTTTCCATCAGTAACAAATAAATATTATGATGTTCAGAAAGCGACTGGTAATCATGTAAAACCATTAATTAATTAAACGAAATTAATCCTTTTTGATAAATAATCGGTATATATCATATCCCGTCTACTCCATTTTGTGATTGGGAATTACAATGAGTGAACTTTCCGTTACATCAATTTCGTAATCACAAAGTTTCTGTGACATAAGACCAATGCATGGAAACTGATATGTACGCTTTTTATCGCTGATAAAACAGCACATGGTTTATGATAAAAGGTGATGAACACTAATCGGTACACACTGTATTATATTTACACTTCTTTATGGGGTCATTTGACACAATATACCGATTATTTATCAAAAAGGATTAATTTCGTCACAATTAAAGCATATACGTACATGTCTCCGTCGCAAACATCAGAAAGATTTCACTCTCACTGTGACCAGGTTCTCTACCAGTGGTTGGGATCCCGAGCAGCCTGGGCCTCCTTTCACAAAGCACTAAGGTGGTCGTAAGTCACTAAGGTAACCTTAGTACAACGTTAAAGAATGGGAGTTAAGGTTAACCTTAGTAAAGTTAGCTTTTGAAAGGAGCCCCAAGTCAACAAAGATGGGTGACATACATGTAACTCTATTGGTGACGTAGAATGCCAATGAAGAGTACAAGGATGGTTTCCACTAAGTAAATGAATTTACTTGTGATCTGTTACCATGAGGAACAGTTAAACTACCGTACTCACGTATGTATGTATGTATGTATGTATGTATGTATGTATGTATGTATGTATGTATGTATGTATGTATGTATGTATGTATGTATGTATGTATGTATGTATGTATGTATGTATGTATGTATGTATGTGTGTATGTATGTGTGTGTGTAGTGTGTATGTATGTATGTATGTGTGTTTGTGTATGTATGTATGTATGTATGTATGTATGTATGTATGTATGTATGTATGTATGTATGTATGTATGTATGTATGTATGTATGTACGTATGTATGTATGTGTTTGTGTATGACATTATTAGTTGCATAGCTGAAATCTGGCTGAGTGCGGCGTTAAGCGATAAACCCATACAAAGCACACATGATCACTGTTTGCGTACTAACGTGAGCCAATTATCAATGTATACCTGGCCACAACATATATAAACTCTGTCAAAAAAGAAACGCAACCCCTGTATTTTAGAGATTTTGATCTGAAGTTTTAAGACGACACAGCATTTTTATTATTTAAGACAGAAGTCTGAAATTTGGCGAATAATAACCAAGATGGGCATGTTTAAAATTGTCATTTCAAAGTCATCTCCTGAGACACCAGTTTGTCACCAGGGGGCGTCTTTCTCAATATCTCGTATGAGCACCACGAGGCTGCAATCACTGCACGGCATCTCCTTGGACAAGAACGGATAAGACGCCGGATTCTTTCCTGGGAATGGCTCTCCACTCCTCCTGCAGTGCAACGCCGAGCTGTTGCAGCGTCTGTGGCGGCGGCTGACGTTGACGTACGCGTCGACCAGAGTATCCCACAGGTGTTCAATAGGGTTGAGGTCTGGTGATTTAGGGGCTATGTAGAGACATTGACGTTGGAATTCTGCAGAAAGTTCATTGTTGCACGTGCGGTATGAGGCCGGGCGTTGTCTGGTTGAAAAATCTGTGTCTGTTGGTCAATAATCGGAGAGAAGGTGAGGCTGTAATGCGTGGTTGATGTAACGTTGGGCTGTCAGGTTCCCTTCAACGATCACCAAGTCTGATTTCTGGTTGTATGAGATGGATCCCCAAACCATAACGCTTTCTCCGCCAAATCTGTCCCCTGTCGGACGCAGATGGGCGCAAAACGTTCATGACGTCTCCTATACACGTTTTCTTCCGTCGTGATGTTGCAAAAGAAAGCAGGATTCATCAGAAAACCAGATGCGCCTCCAGTTTTGTAAAGTCCATATCCTTACGTTGTTGCACCACCTGAGTCGTCGGCGGAGATGTAGGGGCGTAGTACAGGTCCAACAACTGGTCTACAGGCACGTAAACCCGCTTCTTTCAGACGGTTCCTAATCGTTTGAGCTGACACTCTCCTCAAACCTGGTATTTTGTGGCAGTCACGGTTGGTAGGGCATGCCGATTACGCAGGTGATGGACCCGGATGTACCGATCTTGAAGGGGTCGTGATTCTTGGCCTTCCACTTCTCGGGCGATCGTTGGTCAAATTGAAGTTGTTGTAGCGGCTCCAAAGTCGGGATATCGTTGTTTTGTGAACATTTAGGTGCCGTGCAACAGTTCAAAACTTTCTCCGGCTTGAACACGACCAATGGCGATATTTCGGTCGGCAGCACTCAATCGTGGCATTTTCACACAGCTTTTCATGCGACAAATGAATGAATATAATACGAAAGCACATGGGCTTTTTATACACCTACATTAACTGCCATTTTCATGATTTGCATGTGTTTTTTGTGCGAAGTCACCATGAGGGTCATTTCATGCGTTGTGACGGAATAAGCAATAAAATACACTTATGCGTACAAATGCAGTTGTTTGGATGGTAATCTTCATTAATTACGTGTATAATTTCAATACATTCGAATAACATTTGGTTGGAAGCAATAACTTCATTCAAACGAATTTTTCATATCTGAGGACAGGGGTTGCGTTTCTTTTTTGACAGAGTTTATTTGTTGACATGATTTACATAAAATAGCCAGAAAATAAATAATTCATATCAAATATTAACAGACATATATTCCTGAAGGCGGTGTCTAGACGTGCTATGTGTGAAGACACAGAAACTGGCATATGTGAGACAATGTGTTTTCATTGCATGTGTGTGAATGCATGCGCGTGCGTGCGTGCATGCGTGTGTGTATGGGACCGAGCAGTTCTTGGTTTATCCCCTTATTCCGAGAACCAGGCAAGGTAACAACAACAACCAATCGAACTATCGAACCACCGACCTTCCTGTTTAACGATTTGAACTAACAACATTATTTCCTCATGTAGAGTGAGTGAGTATGGTTTTACGCCACTTTTAGCAATATTCCAGCAATATCACGGCGGGGACACCAGAAATGGGCTTCACACATTGTACCCATGTGGGGAATCGAACCCGGGTCTTCGGCGTGACGAGCAAACGCTTTAACCACTCGGCTACCTCACCGCCCTAAGCTTAACTAAGAAAGCGTAATCCTATATATAAGGAAAAAGTACGATACTTTATGGATAACAACTTCTTTATTATATAATGATGCGACGTTTCGGTGTAGATTCTTATACCGTTGCCAAGCACCCTAAATATAGCATACGATGCATTTGATAATTGTGTATTCACTGCAGAACATGTACAGGTATTTTCATTTCTTGCAATTCGTGATGTGAAAACGTTATTGTCATCAGCCGTGACCTGAATAAATGATGAGCTCTGGTTCTACAAGTAAGTCTTGCTGTTCATAACTCAACATGGCGTCCCCTAAAGTGGTTGTGGTGTTTGGCGCGACCGGAAGACAGGGAGGGTCTGTAGCGAGAGCCCTGGTCAAGGATGGCCAGTTCACGGTACGGGCAATCACCCGTCATGGCGACAGCGAAAAGGCCAAGGAGCTCGAGAAAGAAGGTAAAATTGTCAGAGTGAGCGAGTTAATCTGCAAGTAGTATCGACCATCATCGAGGCCATATTGTGACCAGTGCCGGTTTGGTGATGTAAGGTGGGCATAAAGGGAGCTGAACGTTGAGTTTAATAGTATGTGAAATACCGTACGTACGTGCGTGCGTTTAGTTGTAATGTATAGTTTAGACTAATACCAGTTTCATGCTGCAAGTTTTCCCACTGAAATACCATGCTGCAGTTTAACACTGACTGACTGAGTTTGGTTTTACGCCGCTTTTAGCAATATTCCAGCAACATCACGGCGGGGGACACCAGAAATGGGCTTCACACGTTGTACCCATGTGGGGATTCGAACCCGGGTCTTCGGCGTGACGAGCCAACGCTTTAACCACTAGGCTACCCCACCGCCCCTGCAGTTTAACATGCGTACCACGCTCAGTATACCTACTCAAAGACGAACAGTTCTTATTTATATCCTAATGCCGAGCGCAAGGCACGGTAACAAAAAGTACCATATTTTAACGTATTTTAAAAACGACCTCCCTTCCTCTGGACAGAGACCATATTCAAAACCGGTTAGCACAATGTATGACAGATGTTCATCCAAGAATGTATTTCCGTCGTGCTCTGATACAATTCGTTGTAAATATGGATTGATGTGGAAAGGTGAACACAAACGGACCGTAATTTATTATACTATTCACAATTTGCTAAGGATCAAATGATGGATTCACCAGAAAACTATTATGTGGGATCAAATTTTGTTCAAATATCTAAGCTTATTGTAAGCATGGATCCTAGGTTTCAGTATATCATTACATCTTGTGGAACCCATACCTGCTATTGACAGGTGTTGTTTATTTGCCAAGGACTCGTTCCATGATCTGCAAAATGGTTGATTGGTACCATGAAAACCATTTTTATGGTTACTCGTGTATCAAGTGTATAAGGTTAGCTTAAAGTGACTATTTGCCTAATGAGGGGTTACCATATTATTAGGGCGATTCTACTGTGGATTTATCGACTTCACAAAGGCCTTCGACTAAATGGATAGGAATAAATTATTGTATACATTAGTTAAACGTGGATGCCACGGAAAGTTACTTGTGCTACTGAAGAGTATGTATACGTCAGTGCAAGCATGTGTTAGAGTGGACAACCAGAGATCAGAAGCATTTGATACTTCGCGTGGGGTTAGACAAGGATGTATCCTTAGTCCGGTACTATTTATCCTGTTCATCAATGAACTTGCAACTGCATTATATAAGTCATGTAATCATGGGATATTCGTCACTCCAGAAATACAGGATCTTCTCTTATGTTTGCTGACAACATCGTTCTATTCTCAAGCAGCGTCATTGCTCTTCAACGTCAATTTAATGTCCTAGAACAATTCTGTGCCAAATGGGGACTGGAAGTGAATCTGAATAAATCTAATATCGTTGTGTTTCGCAACGGAGGAATCCTCACCCAGTTTGAAAAATGGACGTAACTACCAATGAAAGTTGTAACATATTATAAATACCTCGGGATAGTGTTTTCTTAAAGACTTATTTGGACAAAAGCATGTGAAACTCTTGCACAACAAGCGAACAAAGCTTGTCTGTCTGTGTTCAGACTATTTAAAAAAATAAAGAATTGACTTATTCCACCGCTACAACCATATTTGATAGGAAAATAGTACCGATACTTCTGTACGGATCGGAAATATGGGGCTTCAGATACACAGAGGTCATTGAACGGATCCAAACAACGTATTTCAAAAGGTTCTTAAAACTTGGAAAATGTGCGTCAAACAAGGCCATCCTTGGTGAACTAGGACGTCTTCCTATGTTCGTGCTCACACAGGCCAAAGTAATAAAATTCTGGTTCACATTACTGCATATGGAGAATAATCGTTACCCTTTACAATCATATAAGATGCTTAAATCTTTCGACGATATGGGCAAGAGCAACTGGGTGTCAAATGTGAAAACCATTCTTCTCCGAACCGGCTTTTCACACGTATGGTTCAACCAAGGAGTTGAAAATGTAAAGTTATTCATGTTTATCTTCCAACAACGACTTACAGATATAGGTAGGACACCAAAGCTGGCGCAACGATATCAATACATCAAAACATCTAAACCAATACTCACAGTTCAAATACGATCTCCAACTGGAACCTTACATCACAGAACTAAAAAGTAAAGACCTCATACGTGCTCTCTGCAAATTTCGGATTGCCCAGAACGATTTTAAAGCCAACATCTTTTGTCATCAGGATGTGCCTATTGAAGAGCTCTACTGTACATTCTGCAATTCCCCACAGATTGAAGACGAAAAACATATTTTCTTTTCTTGTAAACAGTACCAACACTTCCGCGAAAAATATCTCATCCAACTTAGAAATGTATATAAGGGCCCACTCTCACTCCATAATATTGTATGCTCTAAACATCCACGTATTATATACATTACTGCTTTATTTATACACCAAATACTCTCTTGCAGGTATAAAGCTACCATGTAGTTAATGAGAATGACCACTGTCCATCTGTACCTTATATTATGTAACTGTATTATGGACCATTAGGCCGACATTACAAAATAAACTCTGTCTGTCTGTCTGTCTGTCTGTCTCTCATATTATTATTTATCCAGTTTTAAATGGATACAATTTCAAATCATAAATCTAAGTTTAAGTAAAGTTGTGAATTTTTGTGATCTTTAGCAAAGTGTGAGTAGTATAGAAGTGAATCTGCCATGACTCGCATGCTACAGGCTGTAATGAAGCATAACGTATAACTAATATACTGGACAAAAATAGTTAGGGATATATGTAAATTTTGAAATAATGAATAATGATCTATTTATTCATTGATACACTGATAAAATATAAATAATAAAAATACCAATATCCCTAACTTATTTTGTCCAGTATATATAGCGGGTATTACGCAGACAGCCAGTTCGCAGATACCTTAAAACAACATTTACGGTTCAGTGAACAGATTATCTACTACCTGTTACCTACACATTATTATGGAATAGTCCAAATAAAAACACAGGAACAAACTGAAGCTAAATTCTTCAAAGGCATTTAGAAGTTGGTGTAGTAATACAAGACAAATCTTACGGATAACATAAATCAAGAAGTTGTTATCCATACGATTTGTCTTGTATTAAAACTGAAGCTATATTATTTATTTTGAAAGATGGACGAAAAGACAGTAATCTGAATTTTTATTGCTGCAATATGAAAACAGTTTTTCACAAACATTTCGGTTTAACCTTCTAGTCTAACAGGAGTCGACATCATAATATTGAAATCATTAGCTTATCTATTAGAAATTGCGACACTGAAGTATCATATAAATCAATTAAGACAAATGTGAACCTAAATATTATTCATATGGAATAAAGAAGTTATATGTTTTGCACACAGTATTAAGATATATGAAGAGTGCACTTAATTACGATTTATTTAGAATAAATATTTAAAATATGACGCATCATGTCAATGTGGCCATGGATGTGAGAATGTTTTTCATTACGTCCTTGAATGGCCATTGTATACTACTCAAAGACATAAACTGTTACAATCTTTAGAAAATATTGTTAAAATTAAAACACTGATTTGTATTAATCGTATCTTACATGGCAATGCAGGTGTCTCATTTACTGCAAATCAGAATGTTTTCAAATATGTACATATCTATATCTCTCCCACAAAACGTTTTCTCAGTTTCCTTCTGTTGTACATATGCTATTATTGGGAGGGCCTTTTCTATCAATAAACACAATCAAACCTCTCAGTGACAAACCTGTTTTTATATTCGATAGTAATTGATAGTAAAAACAATTTTGAGAAGAGAAATCATTTATCATTTAAACACAACAAAGTTCTATTTACCCACAATCAAACTTATCAGTAACGAACCTGTTTCAGGCTCACCCTGCTCTACTCACTAAACAGTGGACTGTTCCATTATACCCGTAGGTGTTACCCTAATTAACCTTCTAGTTCAGTGCCTGTCAATTCGGTGTCTGTCAAACGGGAGATAACCGATATAGCTATCTCTGTAAATCCTACACCGTTTTCAAGCAACGAAACGTCGCTCTGTGCAATAAACAAGAAGTTGTTATCCATAAAGTTATTCACTCACCAACGTCTAGAATGTCGAAGGATGCGTATGGCTGTGAAAGTTATGTGAGTATGAGTATGGACGGTTCTTACCGCTCTGCCTTCTCCAAATTCAGATCAGGTACTGCTCCTCTGCATTTGGAAACCGGCAGATATACACATGTGAATGTGAATGAGAGGGTATGCTTTCAGTGTAGTAAGAATGTTGAGGATGAAAGGCATGTTATGTGGTATTGCCCTGTGTGTGATGATTTGCGTGACAGTTTATATGAAACTCTCTGTTTTAGCTGTCTCTACTTCTTAGATCTCTGTGATGATGATAAATTTGTTTTACTTTTTGAAAACCATGTATATATCAGTGCCAAAACCTGCTTTATAAATCTTCAAGTCAAAACATTGATTACACAACAGTCTCGTTTCCTCTTGACTGGGTTCCGTCCTATTGCGCATCTTAGTACAATAACCATCTCCCATACCCTTAAAGGGTGGCTCACTTATATGTTATATTTTATAAGCATGTTAATATATTATATAAGAAGAAGAAGAAGATGGGTCACACAGTACCGGTGAAGATCCAGTCTCAGTGAAACAAATAATACTGAGTCTAAGTTTCCTTAGACTGGGTGAAGATCTGGCTTAGAATTGGTCTTCGGCAACCCATGCTTGTCGTAAGAGGCGACTCACGGGGTCGGGTGGTCAGGCTCGCTGACTTGGTTGACACATGTCATCGTATCCCAATCGCGAAGATCGATGTTCATGTTGTTGATCATTGGATTGTCACATCCAGACTCGATTATTTACAGACAGCCGCAATATGGCTGGAATATTGCTGAGTGCGGCGTTAAACAACAAACTAACTAACCAACCAACTAATGTATTTATTCCATCGTAGGTTGCGATGTGGTCGTTGCCGACCTCGATGACAAGCCCAGCGTTGTGGAGGCGATGCGGGGAGCTTATGGCGTTTTCCTCGTCACCAACTACTGGGAAGACATGGACGAAGAGCGCGAGTTCATCGAGGTCAAGATTAGGTTTCCTAGTACATTTCTTCTCTACCAGCATCCTCAAAAATATAGTGTATAATGTGTCCATTCCATCCAGATAAATACCTCGGGACCATCCCAGTTGGATAGATTGATGCTCATACTGTTGATCACTGGAGTGTCTTGTCAAGACTCGATTATTTACAGACCGCCGTCTGGATTATTGGTGACAGCAGCGTTACAAAACAAACAAACAAACAACTACCAGATCTTTGTAAATACTCGCAACTTCTTGCCTTGTTTCCGTTAAGGTCAATTCCAATTGTCCCGTAATGACACGAATCATTCGTGACCAACTCGTTTCATTCCGGCACAAGCAGAATACCGAGGTTACGGAGAGGGGCGAGTGGTGACGAATGGACAGAAATGTTTCGTTTACAAAGTGACGTCACGATGTCGGTCAAACCAATCAGCAACTTTGCACAGATTTCTTTGCGCTCGCGAGTGTCATGTGATTCCACGTATATTTTTAGCGTCGTTTCTTGGGCTCAAACTGAAGCATGTGGCGAATGGACAAGCGTATTCAAAAGATACATGGAGCTACAATACCCCAGTAGTACACATTAATCAGGGCAAGCAGGTTTAAAAACCGACCGGTTAACGTTAAAATATAAAATGTCATTATGTTTTGTTAAAAGAATGAAAACATTTTTGTTACGCTGCATTCAGCCATAAGCTAGCTATAACACGGCGGTCTGAAAATAATCGAGTGATTAATGTCATGAGCATCTATGCACGCAATTGCACGTTCGCAATATAGTCAGCAAGAATCACCACCGGATTCATTCAGTTGCCTCTTTCGGCAAGTATTTTGTTGTTGACCTAATTTTAAACACGAATATCTGAGGGTAGATCAAGTCAGTGAGTGAGTTTGGTGTAACTCCGCTTTTCACAGTGTTCTCCTTATAGCAAGGCATATCCGATATATGTGGGAGGAGTGAGTGAGTGAGTATGGTTTTATGCCGCGATTACAATATTCCAGCAATATCACCGCTGGGGACGCCAGAAATGGGATTCACACATAATATCAGTGTATGAAATAAGTCCCCTCCGACAGCCCTATAACGGTCTATATTTCTGACGGACGGTATAAATTTGGTCTGGTTAAATCCATTTTGGGCTGGTAACATTTTGAAGTTACCAGCCCTGATGTCTGGCTGGATTTTTTACTTATTTCATACACTGACAATTTTAATACCCATGTGAGCAATCGAACCCGGGTCTTCAGCGTGACGACCGAAGGCTTTCAACCTATAGGCTACCCCACCGCACCCATTTATGTGGGAGGAAAGAGCGATGAGGGTCAGACATTTACAACCTTTGAGAAACGCGTGCACGGGTCTGGTGCTGACATATCTAGATACATATAACAGTATTCGACCCCACAATCATAGTTTTCGCAACAGTGTACGGCGAATTTAAAAAGTCTTCGACATCTGCGATACCTGCGTCATAGAACTATGTGTGAAGCCCATTTCTGGTGTACCCCGCCGTGATATTGCTGAAATATTCTAAAAGCGGCGTAAAACCATACTCACTCACTCATAGAAATAACATTGTTTTACAAACTCCTTACAGGGTAAGAACGCAGTAGACGCTGCCATAGAGTGTGGAATTGAGCACCTTGTTTATAGTGGCCTGGAGGACGCAAAGGAACTGTGCGGCTACTCTGTGCCGTGTTTTGACGGCAAGGGCCGGGTGGAGGAATACATTCGGTCATGTGGTCTGCCCTACACCATTGTCAGGCTGTCGTTCTACATGGGCAACGTATTCAACTATTTTGTGCCCAAAAAGCAAGAAGACGGCTCCTTCCATCTCGGTATGAATAACGAACTTCGCTGAAATGATTTGCATAAAAAAGAATGTCAAATTATTTTTATTTACGCTAGTAGTAGTCATAGTATCTTTATCCAATATGATACGTGATGAGTGAATGATTGAACCGAATTTGCCCGTGGTGGTCGGGATACGTAGAAATAGTGAACACTCGAGGCGCCTTTTTCAAGATGGCAGGGCTACTGGTTCCGGTGTAAGACGTACCGGAGCCGGATGTACAGTCATCTTGGAAAAGAAGTGACAAAAGTCAGGAATAGGTTTGTCTTTCTGTATCAAGCAACAAATTGAAAGTCCTGCGCGTGCTACAGGACTGACGTTTACGGCTTCTGATCACAGATGTAGATCAGGGTATTCGGTTTTCGAGGGATTGTACAGAAGGCCTAATAAATTGGAGGCTAACATTGGGATCCATATACATGCTTCTGTTTTTTTATTACGGAAATATCGCCATTTTGAAATTACCTGTTGCAGAAATACCAATGGAAGGACATCCGCTATATATGGTGTGTGTCCGTGAAGTAGGTCCTATAATAGTCTGCATCTTCGGAGATCCCGGGGAATATGCAGGAAGAACTCTTGGATTGAGCAGCGAACAGCTCACGGTAGACGAGATGGCCCAACAAATGACGGAATGTCTAGGGGTGGAGGTCAACAATGGCAACGTAAGGCGCGATTTTTGTATCCATGTGTATCCAATAATATTAACATGTTGCACTTTATTTAAACAGAAAACAAACGGGTAGATCCAGTATCACCAATACTTCTACTGTATGTGCCGCCATATAGCTGGAATATTGCTGAGTGCGGCGTTAAACAACACACAAACAAACCAAAACAATCTATTGTATGTTACTCATGATCAATCACCAAACGGGCGGTGGGGTAGCCTTGTGGTTAAAGCGTTCGCTCGTCACGCCGAAGACCCGGGTTCGATTCCCCACATGGGTACAATGTGTGAAGCCCATTTCTGGTGTCCCCCGCCGTGATATTGCTGGAATATTGCTAAAAGCGGCGTAAAACCAAACTCACTCACTCAATCAATCAGTCACCATACGACAAATGTGTAGTGGTGACGTGTGTCTAATTATGTCAGCAGTAGAAATGAAGATTTTTATTACTTGCATGAACGCTAAAACTGGGTGATGTTGTTTGAGGAGAGAGTACATAATATTATATTTTTCGACAGGGTGAACGCCCATTGGTCTATTCACTCTGATTAATCGTTTCTTAATCCATTGGCAAAATATAGCAACTTTGTCGCAAATCTGCCGTATATAGGGCTGGATATAAACAAACGTCAAATAGCCAGAGTGGTGATAATGTATTAATACCAGCCTCCCTACCACCATTCCCATCCTCGTCTAAATTAAAATATGTTTGACTACAAGCGCTTAGGCTTTGGATAAGAAGTTAAAAGTGTTACAAGCCGCTTCTCACTTCAATCCTATATGGAATATATACGGTATATGGGGTCGTGTACAAACCACGTCCCTGACGTAATGACGGATACAGATCCCAATATTGAAGAAATATATTTTTGGTTATCAGGTACCCCTCTCCGAATTCTGCAAACTGAATATCCCTGGGATCGATGTGTACTGCGCCATGTTTAAGTACTTCCAATCTGATCTCTACAAAAGAGACATAGAACTTACCCGGAAGTTGAATCCAGAGTGGTCTACCTTCAGAGAATGGCTGGCGCGCAATAAAGAGGCGCTGTTGGCTGCAATGAACCAGTAATGACGGACATACGTTCTGAATCGCAACGTTTACGCAGCTGATGGTGTTGCGTAATGGTTAAAGTGTTCACTCACTAATTGATTACTTTTTCATTATCATTTTACTTTAATGCACTGATAATAAAAGTCTTCTCTAGCACCAATGTCGTGTTTGAACTTTGTCTCCGACATTTTGCTTCTACAATTTCTGGGTGCGTGCTTCAAAGTGAGCACATTATTTTAAACTAATGAAATAACGAAAATTACGAAACTCCTTCCAATGACGTAATGTTTATGTAAATCTGTGTCCCCGTCACAGCTTTGAATTAAGAGAGTTTCTTCACCTTATGTTGAAATATGTAATCACAAAAGAATGGCATTGATGCGATGACGACAAAGTCAAAATCTGATCTTGAAGGAAAGTAGCGACATTTACGTTGGACAAATAACAAAGCCAACACAGGTGTCACCTTTCAGCGGCAAGACCATCAACACCCATCTACGAGCTGAGCCACCAGCAGCGCAACATCATCGTCAACATCTAGACTGTCAATTTGACTCGTAAAAACAATTAACGGTATGACATCAATGTCGTCGTCACGTGCAAATCCATAATTCAGTTTAAAACTAGAGCCAGACTTGATCACACACCTCACCATTCTAGACACAAGTATCTGTACAATGAGTATGGAGCTAATCGTGGACGAACTGTTGGAGTATCGTGACATAGCGGTATCGTTTCTGAGAGAAAGGCGTATTTCCGAAGCGTGACTTCACGAGTGAGTGAGTTGGGTTTTTCGCCGCTTTTAGCGATGTTCCAGCAATATCACCATAGACGGATCCAGAGGGGGGTTGCAGGGGTGCGCAGTCACCCTTTTGTCCTGAAGGTTTAACAAATGACCATTGAAACTCTCGTGAAAAACGGATGAAAATGAAGTGTGTGGACGAGCGTATGCCATGCTTTATTCTGGGAGATAATGCCTTTGTAATAAAAGGACCTTCTTGATGAAACCGTATGGTCATAGGACTCTCCAGAGAGACGAGAGGATCTACAACTACAGGATCAGCAGGGGCCGACGGGTAGAAAAAAAATGCATTTGGCATCATGGCCTGGCGATGGCAAATCCTCCTCACCACCATGCTGCCAAGGCCTTCCGTTGTGACGGACATCACTGAATGGTGTGTCTGCCTGCACAACTTGATGAGGATTCGTTATCCTTATCTCCACAATGGTGTGGTGGATGAGGAAGATGAGCAGCACAACGTGGTGCCAGGAGGCTTGAGACAACTTGCGTAGGCTGGAAAGAAGCAGCGGGAGATCCTCAAGCATTACTTCAACAACCCAGTTGGAGCCGTGCCCTGGCAGAACAGGTTGATTGAAGGATAAGCGACATATGCACATTCGATTTGCTGACTTTTTATTAATGGTAAGGTTCCTTATAAAAGTGACTGACTGTTTCATGCTGCAAGTTTTCCCACTGAAATACCATGCTGCAGTTTAACACTTGACTGAATGAGTTTGGTTTTACGCCGCTTTTAGCAATATTCCAGCAATATCACGGCGGGGGACACCAGAAATGGGCTTCACACATTGTACCCATGTGGGGATTCGAACCCGGGTCTTCGGCGTGACGAGCGAACGCTTTAACCACTAGGCTACCCCACCGCCCCGTTCCTTATAAAAACATGACACCAACATATTAATGTGTTATGATATTTCCAGTCAATTTGTGTCCTCTACGTTCAAGTAAACGTACCATTGTACACTAGTTTTGTTTGAATGACTGTCCCTCGGCTGGGTTTTTTGTGTATTTTTGTTGTCTTTTGTTTTGTTTTGTTTTGTTTCAGTTAAAAACAATGATATCAATATTTCACCGCTACTAAAATGATATGGTTTAATTTCACAAATTGATCACACAATCAACAAACAACATTTCAAATGTACACATCTTATTAGTAAGACATGCAACCTATTCTCAAAAACAATGACTTACATAAAAGAAATCTGTTGGAATGTGTTTTATTTGCAAGGATTCAAATAAAATGAAATAAACAGATTTTAAGGCGTCTGTATACTAGACACAAAATATCAAACCAAATAAATACCTGCTCGAAATTGGATAATTGGGGAAAATATTCATTCCGAGGGCATGGTGTTATTTCTATTTTCACTGGCGACTCCCAAATGATATCTGAAGTGGCATGGTGTTGTTTTATTCGGTGGTATTTTCACTGGCGACTCCCAAATTATATTCGATGTCAGTTGAAGTTTGCAGTGACAGCTTTTTGGCTTCAATCGAAGAACATTTGAGGCGCATGCGATTCGGTGGTGGTCTGATGACGTTCAGGGCTCATTTGCAGAAGGAATGCATTAGGAAGGGACAGGTTTTCTGACTGTATTCGAGGTGTATTCGATGTAGAAGTTTTAGAATGCAGTTCGAATTTCCAGGTATCTCCAGGAATTTTTCATTCCGACGGCATTCCGGGTCATTCCGCCTCAAGTGTGAAGGGGTATAACATTCTGGAGCTGTATTCAAAATGCATATACGAAATATTCCGATACTGGTACGTTTTTGTGTTGAAGAATTTCTCTCCGAGATTTAGTGTTTTATCATAGGATGGAGTTCTCTCTCTCTTGGGAAAGATTAAACGGCTTCGTTCGTCTAATGGCTCTCGCTTAAAACTATCAAAGTTAAACTAATAATTTTTTCACAGATATGTTGATTAAATGTCATATTAATCACATTTATAAGTTCCCCTTATGGATATAAATAAGTACCGCGGTACAACAAGGTCGTATGCTGCATTTGTCACTTGTAGTGAGTGAGTGAGTTAATATTTAACGTCACATCGGCAATATTTCAGCCATATCGTGACGAATTTGTCACTTGTAAGCCACAACCAGTGTGTTCTTCAAAATACTTACGATGTTTTTAGGACGATAACCACGTAGTGCCAGGTGCGTAGTTTCTTTTGTAGGTCAGTATATATCGCTGTCTAATTTCTAACTTCAAAGCCCCAGCTTTTGAAAAAACGTGGCTACAGACTTTGAGTGAGTGAGTTAGATTTATCAAGGCTCTGAAGAGAATTCCATTTACATCAGAGCGTGTCAGCTTAATGTGAGAGATACCCGGGAAGATCCGGGTTAGAGTTCGTCTTCAGCAACCCATGCTTGTCGTAAAAGGCGACTAACGGGATCGGGTGGTCAGGCTCGTTGACACATGTCATTGTATCCCAACTGCGTAGATTAATGCTCATGTTGTTGGTCACTGGATTGATTATTTACAGACCGCCGCCATATAGTTAGAATATTGCTGAGTGCGGCGTCAAACAACAAACCAACAAACCTAAATTGAGAGAAAAGCCCAGACTAATTCAGGTCTCAAACGTTTGATTGGTGAGACGCAGGAAGCACGGGTTTGGTTCTGACAAGCACAGAACCGTAATCGTGATGAACCGGGATTCGAACCAACAATCATATTTTATGGCGTCCCTGGGGGAAGTAACTCTATACAGTGAATCGTGTCACCATGGTCCGGTTCCTGTGTTCGGTGAAAGAATTATCTGGTGTATTCCATTTTAAAATGTTAACAATGACTCAAATGCCTTATCTATAAACAACAGTCCAATAAAATTTGAAAAGTATTGCAAAACGTGACTCGCCAATCACATTGCCATTAATGCTACTTGGAAGTCCAGATACGACTATTCAACAGAATGATTATGTTTTCACATGTGTACCATCTGATCAATCAATTAAGTGCAAAACGTCTTGAGTGATCACATACGTTGTGTCCCTCTCCCATCTTCTTTGTGGCGGTGTGTGGGTCGTGTGCGTAGAGCTCGGGTCACGAATCAGTTGAAGTTAAGCAACGTCGAGCTCGGACAATCCTTGGATGGGTGACCGTGTTTGGCAGCTTGAGTCCTGTGAGTGTCTAGGACTTCAGTCCTGCCCCACAACGAAGCACATGTGAAACACCTTAGGCAAGTGAGTTTGTTCCAAATTGTCTCTGTTCACCCAGCAGAAAATCTGTACCGGGTCGGATAAAATGATGTGACCTTCTTGCGCCTACATTGAAAATAACCTGTAGCAAATCCCTTTCACATTTGTGAATATAATATGTTTAAATCAAAATCAAATCAACAAATATATTTCACCAAATGCAAATGGCCATCGGATGGCCAACCTCCAGCTGATCGCCGATTTATTCAATACACTCGTATCTATGCCATTCGGTGACAGATGCGGCACATTTCACAAAACACGTGAAATATCCTCTATTTGATATGTTACAACAGCACGCGTTCAACCAAAGACGTATGTCTATCAAAGACGCGCTATCAATGAACACGGCCAGCTTACGCGGCACACATCGCCTCAGGCTTCTTTCCAATCCTGTGTATATGTTACAGTGAATATGTCAAATCAGTGATTTTGTAGAATTACTGAAAATTTCAGCGATTTTATAAATTCCTGATTCACTCGGTGGTTTCACAAACAAAATCCCTGAAAATCACGACAATTGTTTTTACATATTCCCTGAAATGAATATATCGCATTCTCAGTGTTTGTTTTGATAATACTGCTTGTAAATATTGCATGTGTATACAGTAACCAAAGATAAACAATATAAGGAAGTTATCAATACTCATTGTGTTTTTACATCTTGGTCATGTAACTCTGCTTGTTGTGACAACAGTAGATGTGAGCCATCAGGACTGATCCTTTGTTTTTAGATATATTTCTGTTCATTGGGGCACCTGCTATTCTACAGTGACAATGGATCTGAGTTCACAGTCAAGATCATTGATGAACTTTCCCATTTTTGACCTGATTACCGATGGTAAGTCCCGTCATCCTCAATCTCGAGGTTATGTTGAGCGTGCAAATTGTGATGTGAAGGATATGCTTACTGCCTGGTTAGCTGAACACAGGACAACGGGTTGGACCGTGGGCTTGAAGTTCGTCCAGTTCAGAAGAACTCCAGTTATCACAGTGGCATCAAGATGACACCCTTCGCTGCTTTCACTGGCTCTGATGCCTCCGTTGGTCTCAACTCGTCCAGTCTCCCCAGCAGATGTTGTTTGTAGACTTCGAAGCGAGAATGACCTACTCAACGCCCTGTCGTCAGATACAGTACCTTTGGCAGAATCAAGAGCCGCAAGAGCAACAACGAGAATAAGATCATCTTGAGCGGAAAGAGCAACTGCAACCAGAGCCAGAGACGCAACCAGAACAAGAACTGCAACCAGAACAAGAGCCGCAAGAGAACAGCCAACAAGAAGAACCGCAACCAGAACAAGAACTGCAACCAGAACAAGAACTGCAACCAGAACAAACCAGAACAAGAGCCGCAAATCCAGAACAACGCAACCAGAACAAGAGCCGCAACCAGAACAAGAACTGCAACCAGATCCAGAACAAGAGCCGCAAGCAAGAACTGCAACCAGAACAAGGAGCAACCAGAACAAGCAACCAGAACAAGAACTGCAACCAGAACAAGCCGCAAGAACGGCAACCAGAACAAGAACTGCAACCAGAACAGAACAGCTTGGCCAGAACAAGAGCCGCAACCAGAACAAGAACCGCAACCAGAACCAGAGAACAAGAACTGCAACCAGAACAAGAAGCCGCAACCAGAACAGCAACCAACACTCTCCATCAACGGACCTTGTTGCTGAGAGACATAAAGACATCAGTGAACACAGGAAGAGGGCAGCAGAGTCGCAGATTCTTCAAGCTGAGAGAATGGTGAAACGGAGCAAGATTGTTCTCTCTGAGGATGCAGTGGGTGCCAATCTGACGATACCAATTCCTGGTGTTGACAGGGGGGGAGCCGATCCAAGGACTTTGATAGGAGTTGTAATGGACATTACTGACAGCGGCATGTCCACACTTGCTGTAAAAGCCGGTGTCTTGTGTGGAAAGTATTCCCGCAACCAGTTTGATGTGTGTGCCACATCTCTCTACACTATTGCAGATATGTCGACTGAGAAACTCGTATCGCTGAGATCTGCAGTCCAGTCAGAGTCTTTATGTGGTGGACAGGGTTTTGTGGCACAACAAGATGTCAGACACAAAGGTAGTGTTACAAGGCTCGGGTTATGTGTAACTCGCAATGTCACTCTTCCCTCTCTTGCAAAAACAAATGTTGATACATATGAGTGTTGTTTGACTGACGTGACTTTGTTGCAAAAAGATATCACAGAAGGTACTCTGATCCATTGTATGATTATGGCAATTGAATACTGATGCAACATCTGATAGTGATAGATATTGTTTTTGTCACTTACATGTTGAATTATTTGATATTATTGTATAACATATTTATGCAACTATTTTTATGTCAATGCAGAAACAAAATAAATTTTGATTTTGATTTCTGACACGTTTTTTTGTGTTTACTTATTACAAGCAGTATTGTCAAAGCAAACACGAAGAATGCGATATATTCATTTCAGGGAATATGTAAAAATAATTGTGATTTTCAGGGATTTGGTTAAATACCTAGAAATTCCAGGGATTTTGTGAAACCACCGAGTGAATCAGGAATTTTATAAAATACCTGAAATTTTCAGTGATTTTACAAAGTCACTGATTTGGCATATTCACTGTAACATATATACGTCTTTGCAGAAACCATATAACATGATATAATATGGTCACTGGTGTTTGGTTCAACACGTATGGAGAAAATACTTCCACAGCACTGCAAAGGAGTTTAACATCGCTGTTCGGAGCTTCGAGAGAAGGGAGATAACTAAAGTTACATTTCCGGTAGAAAATAAACAAAGTGTAGCGTGGGAGAGAAGCTTGTTTTCGAATTTGAAATGAATATCCGAGGCCCAGTCCCAATGGGTCCAGGTACTGAAGTGTGCATGCATCATGATCAACATACAGTATAATTAATTAGGTTTGGTAAAACACAAACAGGCTCGAGGAACTTCGACTCTTCTAGTTCTAGTTGCAATATAGGCTTGTGAAGTTGTGTGTGTCAGTGAAATCAGTTTGTGACATGCACCGTGCGAATATAGAATCCGTTCGGTTTCGACACCCAATATACTATATGATAAGAAATATATCTCCAGAAAAATTCTTTAGTATCGTTTCACTAATCTCACTCGATCCTTATTGTTAGTTGTGTTTGGGTAACTGTAGGCTATCCACAATCATGTCAATCCTTGGATCCATGGTAAAGAATGTTGGTCATGTTCTGTAGTGACTCTAACTGCACTGTGTGCAGCTTATAACTTTAATTGGCTCTTTTACTAGCCGTGGGGGTAAGACTTCCGCCTGTATCCAACCTAAATTTTACCGATAAGGAAAAATTTCATGAGTGGCATTTTAGAAGTTGGATATGTCTTTCAGTATGTTCAGATACAATTAAAGAAACATGTTAAAACTCATCCTTATCAGATGAGGAATATATACTCAGGTGATATTATTTGACTAGAATGAAATTTAAGGGGTATTCTTGCAGAAGTCTTTCCCAAGCGTGTTTGTTAGCTAACCAACCCTAAAAACTACTTACGCCTCCGTGGTGTACCTAAAACTACTTAGTGGCATGCCAAGTATCAAGTATCTATCAAACATCACAATGTATTCCTTTTCTGATCAAATATTACATGCTGTAAGCTTACAGTAGAAATGTCACACTTACCAAAACGGAAAACACTAGAAGCCATCAACATCAGGAGATTAACCCCAGAGATAAGTAGAAATCAAGGCGTATACCTCTCTAGTGCCTGGAACATCACAAAAGCCAAAACACACCCACCTCTATTGTCACTGAATTCGCTGTATATCACTCTGCTGTGTTCACATCTCCTTATACTCATGGTTTGTGTCAACTGGCCTTACCTTATCCCATTGTCATTGGGGTTTTTATAACTTCTTTTTGACCTGTCCTCATTGATTGATTGTATATACATGTACATCTCTGGCTTCCTGTAAATCTAATTGTCACTTAATTAGCTGTATATCACTCTGCTGTATCCACATCTCTTTATCCTCAATATTTGTATCCCAATTATCATGTTTTTATAACTGCTTTTGACCGGTCCTCTGTGATTGACTGTATATACATGTACATGTCTTGCTTCCTGTAAATCTGGTATATATAGTTTGCTTTCTACATCTGTCTTTAATCACCTGAAGAAGGGGCAAGAAGTAGCCCAGAAACGTGTTATACAATAAACAAGAAGTTGTCATCCATAATATACTCGTCTTATATATTCACCAACTTCTAAATGCCTCTCAAGAATCTTACCATATCATTGCTTTGTTACTTTACTTGTAATACATGCTTAAAGTGTGATTTACATTCTGATAAACACTAATATACATTCACAGTTAGTATTTCCACCTGGCATTGGGTGTGTGTGACAAATTACTGCCCTTTGTGTGAACCTGTATTATTGTTACCATGGTTACAGATGTGTTTGCATCGCCTGAGACTGAGGAGCAGCAGAGGATACGGTTCCAGGTGGAGCTGGAATTTGTCCAGTGTCTGGCCAACCCCAACTACCTAAACTGTAAGCATGGTAGCTCTTGTTGCACAGGAACATGTGTTAAACAAGAAATAAGACAAATGATTCTAAATGTTTATCCTCTATATGTCCATTATTTGTATTTCAGTAAACCTACCTGGATCAATTCCGGTGTATTTTTTTCATCCTCATATCAGCCGATATAATTTGCTATTTGTCTACTTTGTCTAATGGACCAAACAGAATTTAGGTTACAATGTTGGGTTAAAATCAGCTTGGGTGGCAAGCCCCAATGATTATGATAGTTTGTGCAAGAAATTCAACTTTGAAAACTTACCAACACACTAAAGTAAGCTCTCCAAAAGCTCTGGGATGAACCTCCCATAATAATTTTGTTTTCATGACATCTGACTGGTCAGTAAAAGGTTAATAATGCAAATCGAGGGTTGGTAATTTGATATTGCGGAAATGAGCACCCTGGAGATATAGAGGAGTATAATAGTAGTATAATACAGATAATATAATAGAATGATAACAAATATTTTCCTGTTTCAGTTCTAGCACAGCGTGGCTACTTCAAGGAGAATTATTTCATCAACTACCTGAAGTACCTGCTATACTGGAAGGAGCCAAAGTACGCCAGATACATCAAGTATGTATGTCTCAGCACTGCATTTCATGTCCTAGTTTATGATTTGAGTGAATATATTTATCATGAATACTTCATTAGTTTGTATACACCATGTCCCTAAGAAAAGACCGAATCCGTCCAGGCTAAGGGTAGTCTGTCTCACAGTCCCTGAAGCACATTATTGTCCCTACTGCCCGCCCTCCCTTCAATGCTCAAGCCCTAAATGATGCGAGAATAGATTTACTTGGGTTCATAATTTCCCCTCTGACTGGGGCTCCTTTTCAATTTACATGTGTTTTTTTGTTACTATCAAAAGTCCAAGAGATGTGCTCATCATGCATAACAATAGAAATTCCTAGTCTTTCGGGAGGATAGAAGAGTTTGACAAACAATATAACAGTCCGTTGATTGTGAGTTCAGCTGCATGTATCATTGTGGTTACTTGCAGTAGTGGTGAGCAGTCACTTGTTGCACCAATGATATTAGTCCACAAATGAGCAATCACTGTGAGGAGTTGTATACACACCTACAAAATCTCTCAGGTCCAATAAAAGCAGGTGTCCATGCTTACCGTGTACATGTATATAGTAACTCAAGCTTGCATATGTTGCTAATTTGGAGTGGCAGAATCATTAGAATCCTTCTCACAGATCAGACAATTGAAGATGTCTCCAACAAGTGATAAGTGGCATAACATGCTACATAAGCTAAATTATTTTCATCATTATTTGAATTGGTATTTTATTCACCTAACATGCAATCATGTAAGAACGTAGGGGTATCTTGGATACAAACTGGAAACTGATCTGATGAAACAAATCCCCAAATGGCCATGTGCTCCACTCTCCTTCTTAGCCCAGTGAGCAGGATGTGAGAGCCATATCCTTTGATAATCTCTTAGTTTTACCTCATAGGTTACTATAGAGGTATAGCTAGTATCCTTTACTATTTGTATTGATTAATTATCGTATTTCTACTGTTTATTCCGTGTATTCGCGTGATTGTTCAGCTAGCTTTACGTTCATGAAAATCTGTACGATTTGTAGATTACGTTTTCTGCCTCCGATCCACATGTAATATGCCCTAGTTGTTCTAATGCGTGTCGCGTTTAATTCACGTTGCAGTTACTGCATTAATTTATCTCATTCTGCATTTAATAAATATCATCTTTGCGTCTTAAGGCGTGCTGCAGATAGATCACGCAACAAGGGCAAAACATGGCAGAGAGTCCAGATATTCCTTCCAGTCAGCTGCTAGCGATCGACCCTCTCCGTCTGGTGTTCTGCTAGAGACCCCTGGCGGCAGAGGGCGTGGGGACGCCAGTCCGTTACCTCGAAGAAACGACCGGCCTCCCCAGACATCCCGTCATTGCAGACTAAGTCTAAGAGGGCCTCATCGTCGTCTCAACGCAGATTGAGGACACCCAGGGCAGCGCAGACTTCCAAAGGAAATCTCACGAAGACAGCAAGAACTTTCTCAGCCGAGATCGCTCCAGCAGCAGAGTTGGGCCTCTACGATGATCAGCCGATAATCATCCCCGACTTACGGCAGAAGAAGCGACCGGTGTCAGCGACTGTGACTTCTGCAGAGATCTCCATGCAGCCTGATGCCTCTACACCGACGTCAGACGTCATTGATGTGAACCCCATCGCAGAAAAGACGCCGACGACTTCGTCACAGATCATCCCAGAAGACATGATGCGGCAGATTATGAACATCATGGAGGACCACTACAAACTGCGCAAGCAGGGTCCGAGCCTTCGCGAAGGCTCCAACGTAGACAGCACCCCAGAGGCACCCCCCGTCAACGTAGCAGCCAAGACGATGTCACCTTCGCGAAGGAAGTCCCGCACCACCTTGACGAAGGACCTAGATGTACAGCCTTCGCGAAGGCCTTCGCGAAGGCGGGAGAGATCATCACCATCTTCGATTTCATCTCTAGATATGGACTCAGACCATCAGACATCACGGAAGCCTTCGCGAAGGTCATATCATCGATCCCCCGGACCGGACGCAAATGAAGCTTCGCGAAGGCATTCGCGAAGGACATATGATTCCAGATCTTCATCGTCTAGAAGAACATCGAGGGACTGCCGAAGAGCTTCGCGAAGCTATCAACATTCACCTCACAAGTCTCCGAGAAGATCATCCCATAGACGATCTCCACTCCGTTCATCACCAGGTCGATCACCCATCAGATCTCCACATAGAGCGGCGCACAAGTCAACTAGATCGCCACAAACCTCATCAGATATACAGACAGCTACACGCAGTCCCGAAGAGCATCTACAATTTATTAATGATGATGGTTTTGAGGATGATGGAGGAATCATATTTTCTGATGCAGAGATACGGTATTGGATGGTCAATAACCTAGATCTCACATCACCATCTAAAAGTGGCAATACAGCTCAGACGTATTTGATGAAGGAAGATGATCCAGATGCAATCACTCTACCCCCGATCGACCCGATTGCGGCAGTGCCACAGAATCTAGATGCAGCTTTCCAGAAAGCTACGAAAGTTCAGATACCACATCTACCCAACTTTCAAGCCAAGAAGTTCTCCACGCATAACATGGACTCCTTCTACAAGGCCCAGGACATCGATGAGAACTATAAGATCATCAGCGATGTAAAGAACAAGATTTACAAGATGGATGATCGCAAGTTGGCTCATATAGAAACCATGACGAGACGTATGTTCTTTGGGTTAAATAGATCTAGGACGATCAATGAGACTCTTATTACTAGATTCCGGGATTCCACGACGGAAGATGATAGAATGATTTATTCTGCCTTACTTATGCAAAAGAAAGATCAGCAGTTTTTAACGGATCATCTTACATCTGTTTCAGCAGCACTGACCTTAGCTCGTCGTCAAGGCCTCCTCGCCTCCTGTAATTGGGGGGGGAGAACTTTACAGCCCCACTTTATACAGCCCCGTGGTCGACAACATCCATCTTTGACGGAGAAATCGACAAGGTCGCCAAGGAAGTCTCTAAGGATTCCAGGGAAGTCCTTATGATTAGATCGATGGACACACTAGCCAGCGTCATTCGTCAGACTTCACAAAGATACTCAGGCAGATCTAAGTTCACGGGCCTACAAAGAGCAAGAGACAGGAAGATAGCCAGCTCTAGAGGTAAAGATTCTTTTCGTCGCCCATATGGCAACTATAGAGGAGGATCAGGAAGAGGCAGGACACCCAGAGGTTCCCGCAATTATAGACGCTGAAACACAGGTTCGGAACGACTGGAGTCTTCCACCCCCCAGCCGTTCCAGTACAACCAGCTCAAGTGGGTGGACGCCTCCAACTACACTGGGAAAACTGGGGAATACTGCAAGATCCTTACGTCTCCAACATTATTCAACACGGATTTCGTATCCCTCTACAGGACAAGCCTCCGCTGACAATCAAACCCCCCAAGTTCGATTTACAAGCGCAACAACTACCAAAGATAAAAGAGGCTGTCTCATCACTCCTATCCAAACAGGCCATAGAAGTAATAGATCAAGCAAACGTCGAACCAGGTTTCTACTCCCCAGTTTTCCTAGTTCCCAAGAAAAACTCCACGGAGAAATACAGACTCATCTACAACATGAGCTTTTTCAACAAGAACTATCTACGCAAACCACCGAAGTTTCGCATGATACATTTACCTCAGTTACGCCAGATGATTCGTCCTATGGACTACATGGGCAGCATAGATCTACAGGATGCCTACTTGCACATCCCCATTCATCCCGATTCCAGGAAATACCTACGATTTACTCTAGAAGGGCTACATTACCAGTGGAAAGTACTCCCATTCGGAATATCATCAGCCCCCTGGCTATTCACGAGGATAACGAAACCGATTATCAAATTTCTACATCGTCAAGGGCTACGCAGTGCGTTTTACCTCGACGACGGGATACAAGTAGATCAAGATCCACTGCGTCTCAAACTACAGTTAAATTACATCATAAAGCTACTAACACAACTAGGTTGGTTAGTAAACTTACGCAAGTCGGACCTAGTACCATCGCAAGACCTACAGTTCCTAGGTATTCGATTCATCACAAATCGCAACCGTATTATGGTACCAGAAGACCGTTGGCTCAAGATACAACAGACCATTCCACCAGCTCTACTCTCTCCGTTACCACTGCGACAATGGCAGAGCCTACTAGGTCTTCTCACATCAGCCCAAGACATGACTGTCACAGGCAGATTACAGTTACGTCCCCTACAGGTCCTCATCAACGCACATCTCAACGATGTACAACCATTCAGTCTACCGAAACATCTCAGACCACATCTACTATGGTGGACCAAGAAATCGAATGTCTGCGAAGGGATTTGTTTAGCAGAGCAGGAATACAAAACCCATCTGTATGTAGACGCGTCACTCCAAGGTTGGGGAGCTCATCTCACCAACCACACGATATCAGGGTTATGGAATCAGCAAGAATGCAAACTCCATATAAACAGTCTAGAAATGAAAGCTGTAATCAACGCCATTCTACATTGGAGCACATTTCTACAAAATGCGCGCCTAATGATCCATACAGACAATTCGACAGTGGCGTTCTACATAAACAAGCAAGGCTCAACGAGATCGATGAACCTTTTGAACCTAAGCTTTCAACTGTTCGATTTAATACAAGATCTAAATCTACATGTCAGAGCAGTGCACATTCCCGGAGCCAGAAATATACTAGCAGACGCTCTCTCTCGGCCTCATCTACCATCACCGACAGAGTGGATGATCAACCGGGAAATTTTGCACAGATAATCAAGCAATTAGGAGCGCCGCTAATAGACCTATTCGCCACGCGATTCAACAATCAGCTACCGACATTCGTGTCACCAGTCCCAGACCCCCAAGCTTGGGCAACGGACGCTCTAAGTCTATCATGGGAAGGCCTCAATGCGTACGCGTTTCCGCCGCCAGCAATAATACCTCAAGTATTACAGAAAATCAGACAAACACAGAGCCTACAACTCACTTTGGTCGCGCCCTACTGGCCGGCCAGAACGTGGTTTCCCATACTAATTCAAGAAATCGGTCAACCAACACTGGAGCTACCCAAGCGCGCAAACCTGTTAATTCATCCTCACACCAAACAAGTGCACGGAAACCCAGCAATGTTCCAACTACACGTATGGACTGTATACAAATGTGTTTAAACAAGAGAGGATATTCTGCCAGGGCGGCAAAAGCAGTCACGCTTGCCTTACGTTACTCAACTCGTAACTTGTACGACGACAAGTGGCACAGTTTCGAAAATTATGCAACAAAGAAAGGGTTTACAGCAAGAGAGGCTTCACAACCTCAAGTGGCAGACTATTTGTGTTACCTACGCCAAAACAAACATTTAAAAGGTTCAACGATATCAACATATCTTGCCGCGCTTAGCTCTGTAATCACCATGAGAACGGGTGTCAAATTGACAAGATCTCCAGAGTTACTGGCCTTACTACGAGCTTTCCGATTGGAGGACCAAAAGCGGAAGTTCCACGCCCCAGCTTGGGATCTGAATGTAGTGTTACAACACCTCACGAGTGAGGTCTATGAACCCTTGGAATCGACAAACTTTGAATTTCTCTCACAGAAAACATTGTTTCTGCTATCGCTAGCCACAGCAGCAAGAATGTCTGAAATTCACGCTCTGGATTACGAGAGGATACAGTTTGATGACAATCATAACACAGCGCACCTCGGATTAAGATGGGATTTCATTGCAAAGAATCAACTGCCAGGTCAACCAGACAGATTATTCCACATCCCGGCGCTATCCTCTATTCTCGGATCACAAGATACACAAGACCTATCACTGTGTCCGGTAAGAGCGCTCAAAGTTTATTTACGACGATCCAAAACAAGGAGAAGATTTCTCAAACGTTTATTCATCCCATTATCGCCTACGAATCAAACAGAAGTGTCACGGACCACAATATCTATTTGGATAAGGACTGTCATTCTCCGTGCCTACAAGGCAGCAGGCTTGGACCCACCAACAGCATCAAATCCACATGAGATCAGGGCACTGGCCTCTACCCTCGCCCTACACGGTAACTGTTCCTTGAACACGATTATGGAAGGATGCTATTGGAAATCTAACATGGTATTTGCTAATCACTACCTAAGAGACATCACTACAGAAGATGTCTCTGGCATTCACCATTTCGGACCACTGGTCCTCGCTCAGCAACTGACAGTCCCTCGTAGGCGTTAAAATATTAGCCTCACAAGATTAATATGTATTTTATACATACTCATCTAGCTTATAACTCTAAGGAGTTTTAGGGCTATGTATATATGTTCAGCTTAAGTATTCTACCTTAAGCATATACTTGGATATAGTCAATTTCAGTGCCTCTATCAGAGTCACCTATATATATATATATATAATTTATATGTATTGTTCAATATATTCATAATGTAATTCCCCTTAATGGCTTTATATAACCTATGGTTTTCTTTATACAGGAAACATCCTAAATCTAAGGCTTCATGAAGTTCCCGTAGGGGATATTACAGTATATCTATACAAAATCACTAATTATAAATCCAAAGTATTCTGTTACCCACCTCCGTTCCGTAGGATGCTACAAGCAAAAGAGCATGAGTCAGGATAAGGAAAAATATGTAATTTTTAGAGTAAAATTGATATTTTATACTTATCCTGACTCATGAGGTTAGCCCTCCCATCCTCCCACATAACACTTTGGATTTCCTGTAAATTCAAGTGTTGGGCTCAAGCTAAATCAGGAGAGAGTGGAGCACATGGCCAGAGGGTGGCGACACCTTTTCCCGCCAGGGGAGACAAAGGGGAGCAACTCGTGGTGAGTACCAATTAGTGATTTTATTTTGAAGGGAGCTTCAAATAAGGAGATACAAGTGTTCCACTATGTTCGCAAGAAGAAGAAGACAAGCAAAAGAGCATGAGTCAGGATAAGTATAAAATATCAATTTTACTCTAAAAATTACATTTTGCACTATCAGCGGAAGCGGATGTCGCTGCTCCAGGCTCAAGCTGACCAGGCTGCTGCAAGGGGAGATAAGCCAATACCATGATGGTAAAGTCGAGCCAAGACCTCGTGGATGGTCACAACTGCCAACCTTGACAAAAGTGTTAACAGTGCTGAACAATGCTGGTTTCTCTCATAACAGTATTAACACATCTAAATGTGCTGGAAGGGAGATAACTCACGTGAAGGACAGAGGATCTCAAGACATTATTCAAATATGGTTGTATTATATCCTTTACATACCACTGAGCAAAGGGAGACTATCTGTATTAGGAGCTGTGTGAGTATGGAGACAGGACACATTGACAGATTAACAGGATGTTCTTATCGGTTCTACAATGGAACCAGCAGATATGTGGAACAAGGTGTGTTGTAGGTCTGAAGATAACTTGATGCAGCAAGGAAATGGGAACACCCTTTTGTATTTTCTGTGAAATCAGAATTTAAAATGTTCTCTGTTTGTAGAAATTTGTACGTATGGAGAATCTTTATAAATTTTGATTTTTCTCAAACAAAAGTCTAGTATTTGTATCCCCCGGCATGTAATGCGGGGGATATAGTCGACGCCTGGTCTGTCCGTCCGTAATCATTTTGTTTCCAGAGCATAACTCAAGAACCGTTCAATATTTTTCAACAAAACTTGGTAGATATATCAAACAGAACCTTAAGTGGTGCCTTTTGCTATTTGCAGATTTTTGGCATTTTTATTTTTCCCGGTTTCCATGGAAACGATTCGGACTTAGTCCCAAAAGGGAGGGATGTGCTTCATTTCCGGAGCAAAACTGGAAAACGTATTGATATCTTTCAGTAAAACTTGGCAGATATGTGAGGCAGATCCCAAAGTGGTGCCTTTTGCAGATTTTTGTGATTTATTATTTTCTCAGTTTCCATGGAAACGATTCGGACTTAGTTTTAAAAAAAGTCATACAAAACAGTCAAGCTGGACTTTAAGTAACTGTCAGATCATTTGTTTTTTCAAATATGTGGGGGCGGGGGATATGTCATCTTCTGATGACTCTTGTTTGTTTGTTTTAAAATTATGAGATGGTAATGTAATGAGAATCACATCTAAGGGAGTGAGTGAGTTTGAGTTGGTTTGAATAGTATTCCCACTATGTAATGGCTTGTCAGCTTGATATGTGAAGAAAGCCCCAAATGAGCCTGGTGCTGGACGTCTACCTCTTTAATGTAACCCATGAGCAGGGGAATGCTACTGACAAACCAAGACACATCATCGTGGCAAACCAGGATTCCCACCCACAATCATACATTTGTTTGCAGCACTGCAAAGCTGACAAAAATTTAACATCAGAGCCAACAGAGATTTCCAACCTTTGACAATGATATTCTAATACACTTAAAGGGGCACTGATCCAGAGCGTCTCATGTTTTTTGTGCCAACAATTGTTTTACGTCATCTAGCTGCCAGGTGGGCAACACATGCTCCCTCGACCGTGATGGACACATGGATGTCATCTGGGTAGTCGATGGGGACAAACAATAACAAAATCAACAACAACCAGTCCTGGGGAATTGCTCTGGATCAGTGTCCCTTTAAGTACTCAACTCTTAACAGCATCTCGATCTGTGTGACTGGTCCACCATACCCTCTAACTTGAGCAAAGAATCATTTCCACTGGTACAGAAGGATGTTTTCAACAACCCACATCTTTAATGGGCACATGCCTGATCCAGTTACCATGGTTACCTCACCACTCTCCTTCAAACAGTGGGGCACAATTTAGAACTGGCTAAAAACATCGATAATCAAAAATATTGTCGATGGGAATCATGATTAAAGATTATCGATATGAAAATTATGTAACTGATAAATATCGTAAATGAACTATTGTGATGAAATAATTTTATAATTTACTCAGAGAATACACAAAGTTAGGTCTTTATACATGGGCTGCTCCTAAAGTATGTTCAGGATGGTGTTTAGCTGGTATTCCAAGCCTTAATATGTCATCACATGAAAATGCCACAGATGTGAAATATGTTGATTTCTTTCATATTTTTTTAGTCATTTTCCCTCAAAGTTACTTCTCCGATATCTAACGATAATCGGTCCATATTCATGTAATGATGATCAATCTCTTTGATCTACTCGATAGCCAGCCCTACAACAAATTAGATCTCCTGACATATTCTGTGTTTACCAATGAGGGGTTTGTGTTGAGGCTGTTGAGTGAACTCACGGTTGAATGTGATTTACATTTCCTGGATACAAAAACATCTAAATTCAACAAAGTCAACTTTATTTGTTCTCCACTCTTTTACAAATTCATAACAGTAACATTTGAGAAAATTTCATTGTAGTAAATCCACAATACCTCATCATGGAAAGCAATGGTTTAGTTCTCAAGTTTCACTCATAAGAAATCAGATTCAACTAAAGGCAAAGCATTATCATGTTGACATTAAATGTTATTATTGGACAAAAGAGTGAAGTTTCACAGTACAGCTCACATGGTATCACAGTGTTAATCTTGAAATCATGTCAGTGAGTATAAACAGCACTGAAACTATCTTGTCTAACATTCAACCAACAAAGTAGACCAGTAACATTCTGAAACTTGCAAATATATTAAAACGAGCAGTAGGTAAGCTGTGCATAGTCTACAGAAGAGGTACATTACTGTCGGTGACTTCGCTCTGGTTATGACACACGTAATGATGAGTCACTCTGTATCTGAGAAATACAGATCACCTGAGTATATGTCTTATACTTCCCTGGATATATATCTTATACTTACTTGCATATATATCTTATAATTTAGAACACACTTTATGGATAACAACTTCTTTTTATTCGTGAGTGCGACGTTTCGATCGAATCTGTATCGAAACGTCGCACTCACGAATAAAAAGAAGTTGCTATCCATAAAGTGTGTTCGATATTGTACTTCCCAACTTCTAAAATGCCACTCAAAGAAGTTATCTTATAATTGATGTGAACTTCACATGTTATGGGACACTCAGCACATTAGTATGCACTGATCTGGGTTAGAATTGATCTTCAGCAACCCATGCTACACTGGTTAAAATGTTCGCTTGTAAAGCTGAAGACTATGCTGCCCCTCAGACCAACTTGATGGATTACATTTTACACATGCTAAAGTTTTTGCCAGACAACATGAGGCACACCCTTGCAGCCCTCTCCTCCCCGAAGTGCTTCGAGGTCAGGAATTAGTATTCGCACGAAGTGAGTGCATGGTTGGTTGGTTCTTGTTTAACGCCACGGGCGGTGGGGTAGCCTAGTGGTTAAAGCGTTGGCTCGTCACGCCAAAGACCGGGTTCGAATCCCCACATGGGTACATTGTGTGAAGCCCATTTCTGGTGTCCCCTGCCGTGATGTTGCTGGAATATTGCTAAAAGTGGCGTAAAACCAAACTCAGTCAGTCAGTCAGTCAGTTTAACGCCACACTCAGCAATATTCCAGCTATATGGCGGCGGTCTGTAAATAATCAAGTCTGGACCAGACAATCCAGTGATCAACAGCATGAGCATCGATCTGCGTAATTGGGAACCGATGACATGTCAACCCAGTCAGCAAGCCCGACCACCCATCCCGTTAGTCACCTCGTACAACAAGCATGGGTTACTGAAGATCAGTTCTAACCTGGATCTTCACAGGTCAGTGAGTGCATGGAGTTGGGTTAGTGAGTGATGAACAGCCTGATATCGTTAGTGTACGATGAGCTGAGAAGCATCACTCCTTGCTTCTATTCATGCACGATGGAGTCACACTGCATGCACACCAGTGAAGGGGTGACAATCTGTTTGACACTTTGCTACACAGGGCTGTGTTACCAAGGTTGTGCATGATAATGATAACATTAATATTGTTCTGTACATTGTGTTTGGGATTACACCATCTCAGGAAACTACTGATTTTAGACCTTCTTGTTATTGGTGGATAGGTGCCGGGCTCCGAGAATGTGGGTTTGAATCTCAGATGATATTTAACCACCTCTACCCCAAACCACCACCAAGAACAAGTACTAGAATCTGTACTTTTTGAGAAAGTGTAATCCCAAATATAAAATGTCACATTTGACTACTTTCTAAATGGCATTGTGTAGACATTAATATTGTTCATTACCTTCAGTAGAACACATGCTAAGTCTGCACTTCCCACATGACGTTAGTAGGGTATTTATATACTTACTGACAGCAAAGTGAATAAAAACTCTTGGCAGGACTGGGTTATGGGTTAGTACAAATGTCTGAAAAGAGGGATATGGTCACACCATGGATCACGCCTGTGAAGGTGTTTGCCACATGGTCAGCGTGCCAAGGGAAGATAACTCCGACAAACAATTGAATGTAGCCTACTATGAGAACTATTAATGTTGGTGTTGTACGATTGAAATTAATGCGGGGTTCAGATATGGTCAAAAACTTTTCTAGTGAGCTGACTCCTTAACCTCAGTACATTTCCAAACTGAAAACGAGTTAAAATGTAACACCTAAACAGAGATATACAAATTTGCTTGCCCAACAGAAAAAAACACTGGACTCGGACGTCGGGCAATGGGTTATTTCCACCCCTGTATATATAAAAATAAATAATCATTTGTGCTCCTGGTTTCCATTCTCAGCCACAAACAACCCTGTGTATACCCTGAGAGTCGGTCATGGGACATAAGCAATCATCACTTTTTCACATTTATGGTAATAAATTATGTCTAGAAGTAGTGACAACCCATTCTCTTCCCACAGAGGTTACTTGTCATATCTTCCTACGAACCTCTGTTCTAATACGGCCATATTTCCCGGTTCTCGTAAAATCCCCTAGCGGCAAAAGATCGCAACACAAATTATCTCCCTTCTTTCTATCCAATCAGAACACGTGTTACATCGACTTAGATTCAACTTGACTAACACAAGCAAATGTGGGGCCACAAATATCCCCCATCTGCCGAGGACTTGTGTTGATGTTACACACAAGACGTTTAAAGCTAGCTTGTCCGTTGTCAACGAAGGCGATGGAGACTCCACTGATCCGCCATAACATGACTGAGTTCTGTCTAGAAGAAACGTTTGCGCATCGCGCAGGGAAAGAGGTTTAGTTTTCTCGAAGCATATGGAAATTACCGAGGCCTTGCGAATGATCACTTTTGAAACAACGTCGCTAATTGCACAACTAAATCTGATTGCCTCCAATCACGAGTCTTGAACGCTCACACCATGAAAGGGCCGTATTAGAACAGAGGTTACGTAGGAAGATATGGCAGGAGTAACCTCTGTGGGAAGAGAATGGTGACAACCTTGTACTCAAACAAAATCATTTCATGAAACATGAAAACTATGTTCGCCACCATGCACTAACATGCTTTTCACTTCTTTGTGTTTCCACAAATAATATGGAATTAGATAATTCCTATACACCCTACAAAATTTCGTAAACATCCCTTCAGAATCTAAATCATGGACATTATATACACTACACTTAAATAAATAAAATCAACAGATTATGCACTCACAAATACTGTGGTATCAATATCTGTTGAAATGATGTTATTTGCAATTTGATGCCATTTTGGTTTTGACATGTATATGTTCAATATTTTTCTCTTGCTCACATAGAAAAGTTAACTTTGTGCAGATACTGGTGAGGTAAATTGTTGTATGAAACACGAGTTGTCCTGAAGCAGGATTTACTGTTTCCATCATATTTCAAATATTTCTTTGTTGTTTATATTCCAGCTATATGGCGGCGCTCTGTAAATAAACGAGTCAACATCATGAGTATCGATCCATGTAACCTGGATACGATGACGTGTTAGACAAGTCAGCGAGCCTGACAACGATGAGGTGTTAGACAAATCAGTGAGCCTGACAACGATGAGGTGTTAGACAAATCAGTGAGCCTGACAACGATGACGTGTTAGACAAGTCAGCGAGCCTGACGATGGTTTGACGCTGAGGTGTTAGACAAGTCAGCGAGAGCCTGACAATGATGGCGTGTTAGACAAGTCAGCGAGCCTGACAACGATGACGTGTTAGACAAGTCAGCGAGCCTGACAACGATGACGTGTTAGACAAGTCAGCGAGCCTGACAACGATGAGGTGTTAGACAAGTCAGCGAGCCTGACAATGATGACGTGTTAGACAAGTCAGCGAGCCTGACAACGATGACGTGTTAGACAAGTCAGCGAGCCTGACAACGATGAGGTGTTAGACAAGTCAGCGAGCCTGACAAATGATAGACGCAGTTAGACAAGTCAGCGAGCCTGACAACGATGACGCATGTTAGACAAGTCAGCGAGCCTGACAACGATGACGTGTTAGACAAGTCAGCGAGCCTGACAACGATGACGTGTTAGACAAGTCAGTGAGCCTGACAACGATGACGTGTTAGACAAGTCAGCGAGCCTGACAATGATGACGTGTTAAACAAGTCAGCGAGCCTGACAACGATGACGTGTTAGACAAGTCAGCGAGCCTGACTACCCGATACTGTTAGTCGCCTCTTACAACAAGCATGGGTTACATTATAAGTGTACTGAATAAGACTAATACCCTGGCTGACTGTTTGCAAACATCACAATAGTATAACTAAAAACACATTTTCAGTTTCATATCAAATGAAAATAATATTTCTATATATCAATAAATCTTTGTGCTTAGAACAAGATTGACATATCACTGTATACCTATCAAAAGTTGAGTATTATTGAATTGAGGGGTATTTAGGCTGAGAAATTGGAAAATATAACTTGAGATTTGAGAAGCTTTCGATCAGTACAAGTTAATGGAACGCAGCTGTGATAATCCTGGCTGAATGTATAGGTGAAGGCCATAGGGTGGTGGTTATTGCTCTCAGTGTTCATGTCAGATTTCACATCATTAAATAGAGTAATATCTGTTAATTGTTATCTTCAAATAGCATATCGTAAATTACTGAAGTAGTTAGATATATCAACTCCAACTTGTCATCAAAGAAAATCAATTACAACTTTTGCAATGAGTGAGTGAGTTTAGTTTTAGGCCGCTTTTAACAATATTCCAGCATATTACGGCAGGGGACACCAGAAATGGATTTGATACATTGTACCCATGAGTTGAAAGAAACCCAGGTTTTCAGCATTACGAGGCTACCCCACAGCCCCTAACGTTTATTGACTAAACAGGATAGATATGATCCAGACACAAAATTGACTGAATATATCATTGCTTATTGATCCCCGATTTGTATAGGAAAAAGGGCTATAACTCCTGGTTCCCTTGTCACATTGTTAGTTGAGTGGTGAGCAGTTAATATCTTGTAGTGAGTGAGTGAGTTACGCCGCACCTAGTAATATCCCAGCTATATGGTGGTGGTCTGTAAATAATTGAGTCTGGGCCAGACAATCTAGTGATCAACAGCATGAGCATCGATCTACACAATTGGGAACACCTAGAAAGTGAAGCTAAAGTCTGATCTGTCACATTATCCTCTAAAGCACCAGTAACTGCATTGGTAGATTAGGAAGCTCGAGGATTTGAGAAGTCAACCAAGTTACAGTCAGTTTCAGTGTTCTGTGCAAAGACATACACAACAACATCCGAAAGTAAGCAACGCGTCCATTTACTAAGTCGAGTTAAATTCAGCCCAGCCCTATTCCTCAAAATGATCTTGAATATAAGCCAATGTCAAAGTATGGGAGACTCAATCAACTTACCGCCAAGATGGATTTAAGCCCCGGTCCATACTTTCAAATACTATAGGAGTAAACGTCTGGGAACACACACATGGTAAAGAGTGGAGTACATGTGTAAAACCTGTTGTTTGATTTAAACTCCATGACCCTGTTGACGCTGAGACTACTCCATTGTTTCTGGAGCAGGATGATATTTAAGACATGAAAATGAGTGAGTGAGTGAGTTAAGTTTTACGTTGCTTTTAGCAATATTCCAGCAATTTCACGGTGGGAACACCATAATTGGACTTCACACATTGAACTCATGTGGGGAATCAAACCCATGACAAGGGACGCTTTAACCACTAGGCCACCCTAGCAACCCTGTGTACCCAGATCTGAGGTAAGTACCCTGTCTGTGTTAGTCCAAAGCAGACACCTAATGAAAATATAAAGATTCTGACTGAACAGAAATATGTCAACACAAATCAATAACAGTGCTAGACTGAGAATTTTTATCCTTTTTTTATGAGTATTGATGTATTTGTCATGAAGAGGCAGAATGGTGAGATCCTATTAATCACCCAAAGTCATTCCTCCAGTGTTCAGTTTGTGAACCATGTTTCACTCAATCAGCATTCCACAAAGTTATGACCTCATCATAACTCTATACTTTATCATAGACTTATGTATATCGTGGTGATACCCTGTGTGAAAAGTACATCTAACCAGCTTCAATGGCTGTCATTTGATCATGACGTCATGATAACTGATAACGTATATGTTATATTTGGGATTACTTTCTCAGTAAAAGTACAGATTCTAGTACCTTTTGGGGTTGAGTCCCATCCGGGATTCGAAAAGTACAGAGTCTAGGCACCAGCCAGCACACAAAGTCAGACGCCTAGACCGCTCAGCCACCGCGAGCTTCCACAAAATGGAAGTCGGACAACTGGTAGTCTGCGGACTTTGTGTACCCCTCTGACTCAATCCAAAAAAGTACTAGAATCTGTACTTTACTGGGAAAGTGTAATCCCAAATATAACATGTTACATTTGACCACTTTCTAAAAATGGCATTGTGTATTTCATGATAACTGATGATGTCACAATGGTCTGCAAAGCATTGTGATGCAATTTGATTGTGCAGTATCTCCTGTGTGAGGCTGCAAGATCTCACTGAAGTGGTATCCCTATGTGGAGGCTGTTTTTCATAATAAATATCTTTGTGCATCATCATAAAAAATATTTTTGATAGTACAAACAAAACATGAGTTTTGATAATGTTGAATAAATACATACTTTGTGAGACTTAAAATAGTTTTCTGGTTCCCCATCCACAAAGCATTTGTAATGATACCGCTTTAGCCTATCATAACTGGACACTACATCATTGGCTTACTTAATGGCTTAACGCTTTAATGCTCCCCGTAATGCTACTTAACACTTTGTGGATAGGGTCCCTGCTCTGAATATATGAAACACATTTCCGAAGGTTATCACTTTGATGAACATGAAATTGAGCCATTTTGGGAAGATTTAGTCACACTGCCACAGCCAGTGGATGTTACGTGACTCTCCGTACTGCAGTCGACAGCGATCACATGACTTTTGGTACTGACAATCCCATGATTCCTTGTACTGGGATCCGGAAGGGCACATGTCCTGATATATTTCTAGGGTTGGTACTTTGCTTGTGGAGCTGGTACAGATATTTGAGACGTCCCCAAATGGCCAGACACATGTTGGTGAGCCTGTCATCTTTGAATTTAGCTTGATGGGCATAGAGGTACTGCCGTCTGCAATAAAACCCCACACAGTTTAGGCAAAAACTGGGAAATAAGCATCGGTGAGCCAGTTCTGGCTATACTGCCTAATGTGTCCATGAAGTTATTAGTTATCAGGAATAAAATGTCTGAGGTCCAGTCTGACATTAACTTTCTTCCTCACGGAGATGCATTAGGCTAAAAACATCTGTTTTTCTCTCACCTGATCAATGGTGAGTGAGTGAGTCAGTGAGTCAGTTTAGTTTTATCGCTTTTAGGGACCGTTCATAATTTATGACAAGGGGGTAGATCTTGTCATTCATTTTGTTTTGGGAGGTAGGTGGTCACCAATTTTGTACATAAAGATATTTAAAAATTATTATTAGAAAGGGGGGTCATGATTTTGTTGTACAGGGGACTTTGTAACATACATTGTAGGATGGGTCATTCAATTTTGTACATCCATAAAATATTCACCCCCCGCCAAAATTATGTCCCTTAGCAATAAAATATCACAACAGGGGACACCAGAAATGGCCTTCACACATTGATGGGGGTCAAATTGATTTTGTACATGACATGTTGGGAATCACTTACTTTGTACATACATTGTAGGATGGGTCATTCATCATTGTACATGCTTCTCCATAAAATCATCATGCACCTAAGGAAAAAACCAGTTATTTTGGGGGTGTTTTTGGCAAAATTATGATGACGGTCCCTTAGCAATATTCTGGTGCAATATCACAGCAGAGAAATGGACACCAGAAATGGGCTTCACACATTGTACCCATGTGAGGAATCAGACCCTGGAACACTTTAACCACTAGGCTACCCCACCTAGATTACATGGAAGCAGTGATATGTTTGTGCCCACACAATAACTGATTGACGAGTTTGTGTTACCTGACTATCGTCCTGCACTGTTTGAAATACCCGAAGTTGAAGACGGCTTTGAGCCCAGAATAGCCGGCACTTGGCAGCCATGATTGGATCTCCCAGCTCCATGGCGATGTGGAATTGCTTCAGTGATACCTCCCCGGCAGTGACGGCCTGGAAGTCATGTTGTCAGGATTATAAAGGAAGACGCAACATTATCACCACAAGAGTACAGTCAACCAAAGAGGAAAACACCAGAATATATCATATGTTATATTTAGGATTACACTTTCTCAGTAAATTACAGATTCTAGTACTTTTGTTGGGTTGAGTCCCATTTGGGGATTCAAACCCACACCCTCTGAGTCAGGCACCTAATCACCAGCACATAAAGTCAGCCGCCTGACACGATCAGCCACCACGGCTTCCACAAAATGGAAGTCAGACAACTGGTAGTCTGGACTACGGACTTTGTGTACCCTCTGATAAGTGTAAATTGTAAATTGTGTAATGGTGTGCTGGCGATTGGGTGCCTGACTCTGAGGGTGTCATCCCAACAACAGTACTAGAATCTGTACTTTACTGGGAAAATGTAATCCTAAATATTACATATGTTACATTTGACCACTTTCTAAATGGCACTGTGTATTCATATTCAAACACCAGAATAGTACACTACAGTGTAGGAGAAGACACTAGAACAGTACAGTATAAAGAAATACACATAAAAATAGTACAGTACGTTGTATAGGAATTAGCATTGTACACTCATCAAATGTACCAGTGTACCAATAAAATCCAAAGGAGCTCACATGGACTCGATAGTAATCTCCCAGCGCGGAGTACCCTCCACCCAGCGTTGACAGCCACGCCATTGACTCCTCACACAGCATCCTCTTGACCGCCAGGCCACAGATCAGCTTTCCCCTAGCAACAACATATCCAGTATTACTTCCCCTAGCAACAACATATCCAGTATTACTTTCCCTAGCAACAACATATCTAGCATTACTTTCCCTAGCAACAACATATCTAGCATTACTTTCCCCTAGCAACAACATATCTAGCATTACTTTCCCCTACCAACAACATATCCTGCATTACTTTCCCATAGCAACAACATATCCTGCATTACTTCCCCTACCAACAACATATCCTGCATTAATACTTTTCCCAACCAACAACATATCTAGCATTACTTTCCCCTACCGACAACATATCCTGCATTAACACTTTCCCCTACCAACAAAATATACTGCATTACTTCCCCCAACAACAAATATCTTGTATTACTTCCCCTACAACAACATATCTAGCATTACTTTCCCCTAGGTACAACATATCCTGCATATCTAGCATATCTAGCATTTTTCCCTAGCAACAACATATCTAGCATTACTTTCCCCTAGCAACAACATATCTAGCATTACTTTCCCCTAGCAACAACATATCTAGCATTACTTTCCCCTACCAACAACATATCCTGCATTACTTTCCCATAGCAACAACATATCCTGCATTACTTCCCCTACCAACAACATATCCTGCATTAATACTTTCCCCAACCAACAACATATCTAGCATTACTTTCCCCTACCGACAACATATCCTGCATTAATACTTTCCCCTACCAACAAAATATACTGCATTACTTCCCCCTACCAACAACATATCTTGTATTACTTCCCCTAGCAACAACATATCTAGTATTACTTTCTCCTAGCAACATATCCAGTATTACTTCCCCTAGCAACAACATATCCAGTATTACTTTCTCCTAGCAACAACATATCTAGTATTACTTTCCCCTAGCAACAGTTGATGATGATGTTTATGGAGAAGCATGTACAATGTGAATGACCCCCATCCCCTAAAATTTCTGTACAAAGTAAGTGACCCCTTGCTAGTCATGTACAAAATCAATGACCCCTCACCCCTCCCATACTTTTTAAGCATGATTTTGTTATATTTTTTTGTGTACAAAATCGCTTACCCCCACCTAGTCCACATGTACAAAATTAATGACCCCCAGAACAAAACGGGTGACACAACACTACTTTCCACTGATCAACATATTTAGCGTTACTTTAACCTCAACAACATAATAGATACAGCATTACTTTCCATTGACAACAGATAATACACTACTTTCCTCTGACTATGGATAAAGCATTTCTTTACTATATATGTATACAAATCATATTTCCTCCTGAACAACATACGTTAAAATCTTAATGCTAAACTTATAAAACCTTATGGGACTGATCTTATGCAAACACTAATCATGTGTATAAGGTAAGGCACACTCACCATGGGTAATCAATCCTTTGTTTTGGCCAGACAGATACAACATCCACCATATACGGGACTGTTAGAAACCGATCACATACCAAATCAGAATAATCCACATTCTCGTAATCACAAGCCTTAAACCCACACGTCCGTGCAAGGAATTTTAAAAATCGTCTTCTAAACCTTCTACTTCGATGAATTTCACACGCAGCACAGGATGCGAGATGGGCGTCCATTAGTACGACACACTTTGTGGCCGGAACGACACCGATAGTGAGAGACTGGTCCTCCATGGAATCTGTGTCAAGTTTATCGAAGAAAGATGGTGATGACACGTGACTTTGTTGCAGCATACTGGTCCGTGAGACAACATTTTCACAAAACGTTGGGGAATTATTTTCAGGGTTGCCAAATAATCCCTTATTTTGAGTACATGTTCCATTGTCTGATTCCTGTACAGTTTTTGTCACATTCGAATCACTTTCTTTTGAACAGAATGTGAGGTTATTCAGATTGATGTCAAAAACATCTGTGAGGAATAGAAGCTGGACGAACAGTCTCCCCTCGTCCAGCTGCACCGGTGCCAGCTCCCGACTGTACAACATACAATCGTAGATGCCATTACAGCTTCGGAAGTTGATGAAAATCCGTGGCATGGCTAAAATGAGTGGTCAGTCAGTGGTCAGTCAGCTAGCAGTCCATGATCATCAGCTTCCATCATTTATTCAAAACATCCCTGAAACGAAAATGAACAATGTTACACTGATGACTCCAAACAGCAATGTGAAGAATGCATGAAATCAAATGGTTTGTTATTTAACGCCGCACTCATCAATATTCAAGCTATAAGGCGGCAGTCTGTAAATAAGTGAGTCTGGACCAGATAATCCAATGATCAACAGCATGAGCATCGGTCTACGCTATTGGGATCTGATGACATGTGTCAACCAAGTCAGTGAGGCTAACCACCTGATCCCATTAGTCGCCTCTTACAACAAGCATGGGTTACTGAAGATCAATTCTTACCCGTATCTTTCAAATGCAAAACAGTTTAGTGTACTGGTTTATGGACAGCACTTTGTGCATGTAAAGTAGATAACATAAGTGTTATAAAACATGTTCATACAAACAGCACACTGCAAATCGAGATTGAAATAGTGATTAATTTGCGTGCCATGGCACGTTAAATGGTGAGATAGCACAGATCAATTATTTTCAATGTTCCCTGGTGGCACAACTATTATATAAACAAGAGTCATCAGAAGATGACATATCCCCCCGGCCCCCACATATTTGAAAAAACAAATCATCTGACAGTTACTTAAAGTCCAGCTTGATGTTTTTTATGACTTTTTTTAAAACTAAGTCCGAATCGTTTCCATGGAAACTGAGTAAATAATAAATCACAAATATCTGCAAATAGCAAAAGGCACCACTTTGGGATCTGCCTCACATATCTGCCAAGTTTTGCTGAACGATATCAATACATTTTCCAGTTTTGCTCCGGAAACGAAGCCCACCCCTCCCTTTTGGGACCAAGTCCAAATCGTTTCCATGGAAACCGGGAAAAATTAAAATGCCAAAAATCTGCAAATAGCAAAAGGCACCACTTAAGGTTCTGTTTGATATATCTACCAAGTTTTGTTGAAAAATATTGAACGTTTTTGAGTTATGCTGTGGAAACAAAATGATTACGGACAGACAGACGGACAAGGCGTCGACTAGACTATATCCCCCCGCATTACATGCCGGGGGATAATAATACTCACCATGATTTTTTAAAAGGAAATGCGATAAATTTGACCAACTTAAATATTCAAAACTTATTTTTGCACTCCATCAAACTGTTTATCATGGCGTTCTCAATCTTGCAGCTTAACATGGGTGTGGCCATTTTGAATGCCACTACACATAGCAGGAAATCACGCTTTATATGATAACATAGTCTGTGGGTTAGTTTATGGGTCCAGGACAAATGAAGCTGAACTATTCTTGCAGTTATGACAGTGTTCAGGAAATCCTGCTGTCGAGTTTACAGGTTTACATGATCTTCATTGATATATTAAACAAATTGAAATTATATATGTGATGTTTTAAGTTTTATTGGATTATCCAAAGGTATGGGCACATTTATTTTCACAAAGGCACACCCAAAGTATCTATTTGGTGCCAAATGGCATCTCTATTCCTGATCTTGCTTATATATTTATGTATTTTCTCTGAGGTGATTCACATCGTCATCTCGTCAAGGGGCCTGTGTGCCAGGTGCCAAGTTCCAGTCTATGTCATATTTGTTCTTTAGCCCCATACTCAGCAATAATCCAGCTATATGTCCGGTGGCTGTCTGGGCCACACAATCAAGTGATTGACTCATGAGCATCAAGCTCTGCAATTGGGATACAGTGACATGTACCTGCCAAGTCTTACCATCTGATACCATTTGTCAACTCTCACAACAAGCATTGCCTCTTTCGAGAAGCATGCATTGTTGAAGACCAATTTAACGTTGTTCTTCAAGGGTCTCCGTCAATGTCTAAACCTACTATTTCTGTTTGTGTCAAACAAACACGGACACTTTTATCTTTGTAATTAGAGTAATTATTAACTGATTGACATGTATACATCATACAAATTGAGTTTACAATCAAACAAAATAGGTTTGGAATTACTTGAATTAACCTTGCTTTCACTGCCAATATTGGCCATGCCTTCTTGTCTCTCCATACAACTCTGGTTGAGTAACTTACTGTTCACTGGCCGTCTGTTCGAGTTATGACTCGTCGACTTCGATTGCTTTGGGATTTGTTAAAAACATGAAATAGGATCGGTGAAAGAAATTAAAATGTCCTGTTTCGCCCACCTGTAGACTTGTGGAATTGGTTCTGTCAATCCAACCTAAGTCGACGACCGGATCATGTTTATCATGCCAGAAAAAGGTCACATTAGGTCAAGCATTCATTTCCGGTATGTTTTCCAGAAATTAGCAGTTCGAAAAACAATGGAAAGAAGATATTATTATGTTTATTTCCACCAGTTTTAAGATCAAAAGGTTGTCAAATACAATTCCATTATTAATCTTTCTATGAAAGTGACTATTATAATATAGTTGTAATCTTTTCGGGAACGATACCATTACACGCATACCTTAAACGAACAAGAATAGTATCTTCTGCAGAAAAGTACTAACATTGTTGTAATGTTGTGGCGGAAGTCAGTTGATGGAGATGTAGTTATGTCACATTTGTGACTAATCTCGTGTTTTCGCCATGAGAAAGCTAGGTTAGTTAATCATAACTTCGCACCAGCTTAAAGAACAGTTCCCCTATACTTGCTGACAAGCACGTGGTACCGCTCCTTGAAATCGTTGCACTTAACCACGTTTAATTGCCTCAAGTCAAGTGGCAACATGTTCAAAATCGTTCCATTACAAATATGCGCGCTTTTTGTTTAAATTGATTAAATCGTTAAGTTGGTACTTTGGCACCCATTGTATGTGTACATCTGTCATCAAGCACAAAGGCGCACCCTTAAAATCGAAATCGGCACAGTTGCACAAGTATGAATCTTGTTCGGCATTTTGAGACACCTGATGCTAAATGATGATGTTCGGTGATGATTGTCCATAATCATGCTATTAAAGACCTAACCCTAATTGGCATCCATCCATTACTAGTATTTCATAATGCACCTTTTAAACTTTGCTTAGTTAATTATATGTCATGTTATAATGCTGGAGAGCCCTGTAGTTAAATTCCCATTAAGCTGATTGCGAATGGTGTACATTGTTCACCGCGAAATATTTGTTACTGTGTATGCTCTTATATATGACGCAATCAAATGCATCTAATACAACAGTATGACAGTTTCGATCAAGAAAACGGCACAATGCAAAATGGAATCGTCCTAGGGTACATTTCTGTATTCTGATTTTGTTTAGGGTACATGTCTGTATACAGAAACGTACCTGGGGTACACATCTGTAGTACCCATGCTGACAACGACCCCTTCAGCCCAAATCCCCCCCAGCCAATCAACTTCTGAGCCAATTAGCCAGGACAGGGTATTCATCATCTTTTCACTGGAAATTATGAAAATGAAATTTCATTTATGTAGACTATTATGAACTGATCTTATAGATAGGAATGCATTTTACTAGACAAGTGGACTGGTGGCATGAAGTCATGGACTGCAAAACAAATTCCTCTTTTTCTATTTACAGGAAACGAGCAGTAATGCTCAAGTACCATGAAGACACTTATACAGCACAGTTGGGTCTGTTCTTTCACAGAGTTGTATATCAGTGATGACCTTGCTCGAAGGAAATTCTGGATGTTTTTCACAAATTAGAACATAGATGACAAGGACATCATGTCGGAAGAGAGTTTAAGGGAATCAATTCTTTATCAAAGTTCTCAAGATCATGATGATCAGGAAGATGGTGGAATTGGCAGACTGGACAACACTGCTGGTGAGTGCAGATATAAAGTAACAGGTTTATGTCATGTACATCATGATGATTACAATTTGTATACATGGCTTTATTAGTAGCATACCCTCTTCTAGGGGTGTAACAATGAAGCAATAACAGTACTGTATCCTGTTGCAAAACCATGATACAGTACATCCGTTTATGGCTCTATCTCAAAGTATTACATCACAAGTTATTGACCAAGTTAAACCCTCTAGGAGCTTCAGTATGTTGTGTACTGGAGAAGTACTTAAAAGATCGTGTGTACAGCTACTACCCCTGGATACTAACTCTGGCTACTCTTCTCCTCCTCAGCATCCGACCTGCTGGAGCAGCAGCAGGCGATGGAGCAGGCACGACTCCTGACACGGTTCCGGGAGCTGCGTCAGTGGCAGCTGCAGCAGCAGGAGCAGTTGATGCAGCAACAGAAGACTCAGCTGGAGGGACTGAGGCAGGAACAGCTGAAGGTGCAGACTCTGCTGCACAGGGAGAGAGAGATACAGTGGGGCGGAGGGAAAGGTGAGGCAATGTTGTGGGTGGAGGGAGGGAAAGGTGAGGCGATGTTGTGGGTGGAAGGAGGGACAGGCGAGGTGATGTTGTGGGTGGAGGGAGGGACAGGTGAGGTGATGTTGTGTGAGTGAGGTGCAGTGGGCTGGGGAGGGAAAGGTGAGGCAATGTTGTGGGTGGAGGGAGGGAAAGGTGAGGCAATGTTGTGGGTGGAGGGAGGGACAGGTGAGGTGATGTTGTGTGAGTGAGGTGCAGTGGGCTGGGGAGGGAAAGGTGAGGCAATGTTGTGGGCGGAGGGAGGGAAAGGTGAGGCAATGTTGTGGATGGGGGAGGGACAGGTGAGGTGATGTGGGTGGGGGGGAGGGACAGGTGAGGTGATGTTATGTGGGCAGTGAGCTGGAGAGGAAAGGTGAGGCAAGTGTTGTGGGTGGAGGGAGGGACAGGTGAGGCGATGTTGTGGGCAGAGGGAGGGACAGGTGAGGCAATGATGTTGGCGGAAAGAGGTACAGGTTGTGAGATTGACATGTGATTTTGTTTGCTTATTTAATGCCAAATTCAGCAATATTCCAGCTCTGATGACGAACTTCTTTGCAGCAGATAATTTAGTACATGACAGAGTAATGATCTAGCCATAAGTCAGTTTGACCACCCTATTTCGTCATCTCCTACAATCAATATAGTTTGCTGAAGACCTATCTTATATTTAATCTGGTTTCCCCACAGGAACAGACAAAGTGGTCAAAGATGTAATGAGATCTAGATTAAGTTAATGGGTATGTGGGGCAGCGGGCTAGCCTAGTAGTTAAATTGTTTTGGGTTCGATTCTCCACATAGGTGCAATGTGTAAAGCCTATTTCTTGTGTCCCGACCGTGATATTGCTGGAATGTTGCTAAAAGCAGCATAAAACTAAACTCACTCACTAATGGGTACGCATTGAGCTAGAGACACAGTTGACGAGAATGAAGTGGGATGGAGATTATGTTGATAAGGATGCAGTTGCGTATTGCAGAGGTTAATTTGACAGGTTTGTAGTAGAGTGAGGATTGAAGGAGAACCAGGGGGAAGAAAAAATACCATGAGGAAGAAGAGAGAGTGAGCAGAGGCCCAGATAAGCTGCGTATCCGGGTAAAATACGCATATAAAATTTCCAATAACACATTGAAAAATAATTGTTGCGTACCAATTACGTATTTAAAATGTTAGATACGCAGAAAAGTTAAAAACAAATGCGTACAGAATATATTTATAAAATCGCTTGCGTATTGAAAAGGCATCGATAGCTATCAAGTTGTACTGTTAGTATAGGACAAGTGTTGTACTGTCAGTATAGGATGAGTGATTTTTTATGAAATCATTTCCATTATATTTAAGTTGGTTTTGATTAGGTATGACAATATAATTGACATAAGGCAGAACATACCTGCTTAGTAAACTTACTCAGTCACATAATACTTAGGTGAGTAAAATGACTGAAATACGCACATATTTGAAAGCAGTGGGTAACGGAAAATGAAATACCCACTCAACATTCATAATACCCATTCCCCAAAAATACAGTGGGTACAGTACCCACTTGAGCTAAATCTTATCTGGAGCTCTGGTGAGGATTTTTAAACGATAAAAGAAACTCAAATGCTTTATTATTTACATACTCATGATAGTGAATCATGATAACAGTAAGTCCCATAGTATCCATAACTTGTTGACCCCCTCCAGACAGAAGGATATATTCCAGCTTCACCTCTCTTATAGTGATACGTCAGCAAGGTAACACACCTACGAAGACCCCGCCCGTCGGCACCCACCTCTCCCTGCCAACAAGGACCTGATGACTGCCCTGATGTCAGTAGTCGGGAGCCAAGACCCGCTAGCTGTCACATTAGACCAGTCTGTGTCTCAGGTAACTTGTAGCTGAGCAAGTTGCATTCAGTGCCATGATTTAGCCACTGTAAGACTGGGTTGTTGTTTTATAAATAAACCTGTGATTTTGGAAATCAGTTGTTTGGCAATAGCTTCATGTTTACTCCCTTCTGGAAATGCAACCGAGTGTTGTCAATGGTCTCTTGTTTCTGTGTTACTTTTAGTATTAATGTAGACAATATTTTAATACAGTGCCAACAACAACTTCTATTTTGTGGTTGACTTTGTTGAGTTTAACCATTGACAACAGATCCAGGTGAACTGATTCTATGTTTGTGTTATTCCTGGGAGAAACTGGTTAATTGCTCGAAACATTTTACTAACTTGATATACATCATAAATTTGAACAAAAAGACAATAGCATTTGGTGGTATTTGACTGCAAGTTTGACCAAGTTTACTCCCTCTTCAAGCATGTTAAGGTGTGAGCCAAACAAAAGACTTTGATTGAGTGAGTGAAGACTTGATTGTAAAGGTTGTTTTCTCTGCACAAGCAGTCCAAGTCATCTCTCCCCATGCCGGTGCTGTATGGATCTCCGACGCCGATGTTAGATGACACCAGCACCAACCCAGAGTTGTTCAGCAACCCGGAGTCTCGCCCAGACTACCAGAGAGACATCGACACTGTGGATGAGGGAGTGTGTCCCATTCCTGACACTGCCTCTGAGATAAGTGATGGATCTTATTTGCCTCATGGTCAAAAGAAAAACTTTATAAGGAGTCAACCCTTCCTCGGCGACCTGGCTTCTGACACAGCTTCAGTAAGGAGTGACGGATCATACATCCCTCCCAAACAGTTTATGCAGCGGAATGGTAACACTATGCCCATGCAGATGCCGTTGTCGCCTGATGCAGCATCCCTGTTGCAGACTCTGCTTCAGACAACCAAAGCAGACACGTTGAAACAGATGCTGGGTCTCGTCCCTCCTGAACGCGTCATGATTCCAGATCAGCCACAAGGGATGAGGCACAGAGTTGTGGATAGTGATCTTGGTCCGGATGTGAACAGGAACTGCTCTCACGATTATGTGGATGGTGGAACAGGGTTCCTGGCGGCAGAGGAACAATATCACAAATACGACCGCCACCATAATGGGTCTCGTCATCAGTTAGAAAGGCATGGAGAGGACAGTGGTGGTCAACACAGGCGGAGTGCGGAGTACAGACATACCAGTCAAGGGGAGAGAGACTTGGTCAGGTTCAGCCTGACATGGACAGGCTGCTAAGGGACACACAAGTTGAAGGTCACTGGAATCATAGGAATGGGAAACAGCTTGATGATGTGGTAGAGGAAGACAGTTTAATGGAACTGGAAGAAGCAGACATCACTGTTCAAGAGGTCCAGGTGAGGTTACATCACGTGCAGTTTGTTTGTTATTGCTGTTTAGATTTTTTGTAACTAATTTTGATTTTTATGTATAAAACAGCTAAACCTAAGAGGCAACCAAATGGATTGTGTCTAACATATCTGATTGTGTGTCAAACAAAAAACAAATTCATCATGATGTATTGAGGTTCAGTGTAGCAACTTTATCATTGACTGTCAACTGATGTGAAAAGCTCTCATATTTGAAACATTAGTCATCTTACAAATCAGTTGGACATCAATAAACTTACTATCCAAGGCATCTACTGACTTGGCATGCTAAAGTTGATGGTTGTTAGACCCTTTGTGGTTAGAATAGAACCAATGCAAGTTAAAGAAGGTGGATGAGTGGATCAGATGGTGAGACAAAGTGTGTTGGTTGATACTGAGTCACTGTATCCAACACTGGACATTGCTCATAATGTCAGTCCCCGGTTTATCTGGTCCATTTACCATGTTTACAACCGGTATGTAATAGTACAATACTGATAATGTGTTGTACCCAGATGAGAAATGTATGACATGCCTGTGTACATGAATTGAAGGACAATTTGATTTGTGTGATCCTATACTTAATTCCATCAGGCGGTGGGGTGGCCCAGTGGTTAAAGCATTTGCTTTTCACGCCCTAAACCCGGGTTTGATTCCCCACATGGGTACAGTGTGTGAAGCCCATTTCTGGTGTCCCCTTCCGTGATATTGCTGGAATGTTGCTTAAAGCGGCGTAAAACCCAACTCACTCACTCACTTAATTCCATCACATCTTGTAACACCTTTTTTGTTCACTGTGTTGGCCAGGAGGTGAAGGTGCTTGGTATTGATGACAGGCCCATCAAGCCAGGCTTGGCAGGTCAGTATTGTATTGACAATTGTATTGAAAACTATACTCTGTATACTTATGCCCCTTTATCCAAACCTCACACGGATGACCCAGTTGTCTGTGACGTGAGAATTTGCTTTGCACACTTTTATTTGTTTGTTTATTGTTTAACACCACACCCAACACTATTCCACCTAATCAAGTTTGGACCAGTGATCAACAGCATGAGCATTGATCTCCACAGTTGGGTTAGGAGAGTTACTTCTCTTGGACAGAACAGAAACCCATTGTTGTTACATCTGTCAGCACCATACCCACTGGCCTTACCAGGGTTTTACACAGACTTATAAAAATTGGAGTCATGGTGACTCACAATATTTATTTTTGGGAGTCATTTTCAATATTTGGGAGTCATGAATTTTTTTATATTTCTTGTGTTAATCATTCTTAGTATGTAACAGTCTATGTCACACCACACATGACACTACAGCATTGTACACACACAAACATACAGGACACTGTCACATAGTTACTGGAAAAATCTGACAGCTCTGTAACATACATACTACATACATACAATATCATTTGTATAGCTTATCAATATCCATTTTATTGAACTCAGCTGCTGAGGGGCTTTGTTTAGCCAAGCTTGACCCACTGGATGTCAATCTCAACAGCACATCGTATTGTCAATCTCAACTCCCCTGGGAGCATACAACCCTTGCAGCCACTAGGCGTAACCGAAGTTATTGTGGCATTAACACTGATATATTTGAATACTATTGAAAGAGGTGTTAAATCAAACACACTCCCCTCCTTACATGTGTTGTCGTTTCTCACACTCACGTAGTTTGTTATGTCCAGGGGAGTTATTCCATGCCTCTGTAAAGATACAGATTAAAATTGGTCTTGAACAACTCATACTTACTGTAACTGGTATCTTGCTGACCTTTGTTGATGCATGTTATTGTGTCAGAATTTCATAGATTCATGCTCCTGCTGTTGATCACTAGATTGTTCATCCAGACTTGATTATTTACAGGTCGCTGTCATACATCTGGAATATTGCTTAGTGCAGCTTTTAACATCACAGTTTGCTGGAATGGGCTATCCATTGCTAACAATTTTGCCAGTACACTTACTCATGACAGAGGGCCACATGTAGCTATTACTCTGACCCAGAGACCTTGTATTGGGCTTAAACCATCCAGTACTGACAGGCTGTGATATGGGTCAGTACTATTGCAAGTGCCGTTTATCCCAGTTGATTGAGTCCTTGATAACATAACATGTTCTGTCTACAGGCAAGAAGACGTTTGACCAGTTGTTGGAGGAACAGATGAAGGAAGAGGAGGAGAGGGTAGGTGAATGGATTGGGGTGGATGGGATGGTAGGAGGTGGTGGAGGAGGCTGGGTAGATGGACAGGGTGAGAGGGGAGGTGGTTGAAAACAGGGAGGCTGTGTGGATGGGATGGTAGGAGGTGGTGGAGGGGGCTGGGTAGATGGATGGGGTGAGAGGGTAGGTGAATGGATTGGGAGGCTGTGCAGATGGAATGGGTAGGAGAGGTGGTGGAGTGGGAAGGGGCTGGGTAGATGGACAGGGTGAGAGGGGAGATGGAGTTGAAACAGGGAGGCTGTGTAGATGGGGTGGGGCAGGAGGAGGTGGTGGAGGAGGCTGGGGGATGGACAGGGTGAGAGGGAGGTGGTTGGATTGGGGAGGCTGTGTGGGATGGGGTGGTAGAGGTGGTGGTGGGAGGCTGGGTAGATGGGTGGGGTGAGAGGGGAGGTGGATGGATTAGGGGAGGCTGTGTGGATGGGATGGTAGGAGGTGGTGGGGTTGGTGTGAGGGATTAGGCTGGTTTATGTGAGATGAATGAAGGGTGAGAGAGGAGATGGTTGGAGAGGAGGATGTGTGAATAGGGTGTGTAGGAAAGATATGGTGTGTGCATTTGAGTTTGGGATATGGGTGAGGGTAGATGAATGAATGGGTGAGGAGGAGATGGTTGGAGAGGAGGATGTGTGGTTGGGAGGGTTTGTATATGGGTGAGGGTAGATGAATGAAGAGAGAGGAGATGGATGGAGGGGAGGATGTGTGAAGGAGAGTGTGGTTGGAGAGGGATGGTGTTGGGAGGGTTTGGTATATGGGTGAGGGTAGATGAATGAAGGAGAAAGGAGATGAGGAGATGTTGGAGTGAAGGAGTGTGTGGAGAAGATGTGTGGGTTGGAGGGGGTTCAGTATATGGGTTGAGGGTAGATGGATGAATGGGAAAACCGTGTGGACAGGTAGGGCAGTGGGTTTAGATGGATCTGGAAAAGAGGAGAGGGTAGGTTGATGGGAAGTAAGGGTGTGGGGAAAGGTAGAGTAGTTAGATTTTGGAAAGGGTGTTTTGATGGAGGCAGGTAGGTGGATTAGGGTTTCTCACACAACCAACCATAGTTTGTTAGGTCCAGGGGAGTTATTTCATGGCCCTGTAAAGATAAAGATTAGAATTGGTCTTGAACAACTCATACTTATTGTAACTGGCGACTAAGGGGAGACTTGCTGACCTTTGTTGATGCAGAATTTCATAGATAGGATAGGGGAGGAGAGGTTGATGGAGAGGGTAGGTTTATAGGGGAGGGTAGGATGGGGAAATGGGAATCAAGTGGTCAGTGGACACATTCACACTTTGCAACAAAGTCCTCCAAGGACTGAGTAGGGGACTGTACATATTCATAAACGGGGGTCAAGATGGTCGGTTGACATGAAATTGTACATTGTCAGGGTTTTCCCAAATACATCATGCTTGTCTTCATCAAGTATGGTTTTGGTATGCACAGTGTCTGCAGTAACTGGCGAAGAACAAGAACATCAACAGAACCATTTCTCAGGATGCCACCCTGTTGTGTTTCAGCTAAGAGCAGGTGCATATGATTCCCCCAGTGCCAGGAGGAAGCCGTTTCTACGCAAAGGTCATGGTTTGGCCAGGTTCGGCCCTGGTAACAAAAGGGCTGCCCCTAGAAAACCTGTGACCACTGAGAAAACCCTTGACAACAAACCATCTGCCAACACCGAGGCAAAGCCTATCAGTAAAGTAGTAAGTGTCTTATAGTAGATGATTTTGTGGGGGGCATTGCCAACTGTCATCATTTCTTCTTTAACTCATACGAACAATGTGTCAAAATTCACAAAGACTGAATATTTATGGATACAAGTGAGAGTGGGTCATGTTTCAGTTTTATAATGTCTGCTATGAACAAGACAACATCTTGTTTACAACTGGTAAGAAGACTATTTTTGGCGTTAGAACTTTCAAATTGAGACCCCCACCACAATATTGCTGGAATATTGCTAAAAGCGGCATAAAACCATACTCGATCACTCACTCAAATTGAGACACTCTAGTTGCCATGTTCAAGTATTTACTTGTCATCCTCAAGATGAAGCTATTCCTGTTCCTTGGCTGGAAAGCTGTCAAAGCTGTGTGAAACCTAACTATGTTGCACATGTTGATGTTTATTAAATAATGAAAATCCCACATGACAGAGGTAATTGACAGCAACTTCATCCATGTTTCAGGGGAAAGTCAGCAAGGCTGCTCCCAAACCAAAGAAGTCCGCAAATGTTCCTTCTCACAAGGTCAGCAAGGAGCAGCAATCTAGTCAGACAAATGGACCAAAGAAGGAAGCGTCTCCCAAAAGGACCACAGCCAGAGTCTCGCCACGTCGCTCTCCAAAAATCAAGACGGTGTCACACCGTGACTCCCCACCAGATGTAAGGAGGGAGACAGACCCACCTGGGATGAAGAAGGTTGACCTGGCAGAAGAAGCTGGGCAGTTTGATGATGACGCTTCATTTGTGGGGAAAATCAGGAAAATTGAAGAAAACAAGAAGGTATCCTCCCTCAGCTGTGTAATCTGTCTACTAATCTATTATACCAGAGAGCAGTCAGCAGAGATGCCAGTTATTATGGATCTCTGTTGATGTTATCATTGGTCTAAACTGATGTTGTCATGGATCTCTACTGATGTTGATGGGTCTCTACTGATGTCATGGGTCTCTACTGATGTTGTCATGGGTCTCTACTGATGTTGACATGGGTCTCTACTGATGTTGTCATTGGTCTCTACTGATGTTGTCATTGGTCTCTACTGATGTTGTCATGGGTCTCTACTGATGTTGTCATGGGTCTCTACTGATGTTGTCATGGGTCTCTACTGATGTTGTCGTGGGTCTCTACTGATGTTGTTGTGGGTCTCTACTGATGTTGTCATTGGTCTCTACTGATGTTGTCATTGGTCTCTACTGATGTCATGGGTCTGTACTGATGTTGTCATTGGTCTCTACTGATGTCATGGCTGTTTGTGGTTGTTGTCATGTCTGTCGCCTGATGTTGTCATGGGTGTGGGCTGATGTTGTCATAGGTGTCTCGCCTGATGTCATGTGTGTGGGCTGATGTTGTCATGGGCGTTGCCTGATGTTGTCATGGGTGTCACCTGATGTTGTCTTGTGTGTGGGCTGATGTTGTCATGGGTGTCTGCTGATGTCATGGTTGTTGCCTACTGTTGTCATGGGTGTGGGCTGATGTCATGGGTGTCTGCTGATGTTGTCATGGGTGTCTGCTGATGTCATGGGTGTTGCCTACTGTTGTCATTGGTGTGGGCTGATGTCATGGGTGTCTGCTGATGTTGTCATGGGTGTCTGCTGATGTCATGGGTGTCTGCTGATGTCATGGGTGTTGCCTAATGTTGTCATGAGTGTGGGCTGATGTCATGGGTGTAGGCTGATGTTATCATGGGTGTAGGCTGATGTTATCATGGGTGTCGGCTGATGTTGTCATGGGTGTCACCTGATGTCATGGGTGTCACCTGATGTTGTCATGGGTGTGGGCTGATGTTGTCTTGGGTGTGGGCTGATGTTGTCATGGGTGTGGGCTGATGTTGTCATGGGTGTCACCTGATGTTGTCATGGGTGTGGGCTGATGTTGTCATTGGTGTCGGCTGATGTTGTCATGGGTTTCACGTGAAGTTGTCATGGGTGTGGGCTGACGTTGTCATGGCTGTCGGCTGATGTTGTCATGGGTGTCACCTGATGTCATGGGTGTCGGCTGATGTTGTCTTGGTTTCACCTGATGTTGTCATGGGTGTGGGCTGATGTTGTCATGTGTTGGCTGATGTTGTCATGTGTGGGGGGCTGATGGTGTCATGTGTGTGAGCAGATGTCGTTCGTGTGTGGGCTGATGTTGTAATGTGCTGATGTTGTCATGGGTGTGGACAGATGTTGTCATGTGTTGATGTTGTCATGTCTATCTGCTGATGTTGTCGTGACTGTTGGCTGATGTTGTCATGTATGTCTGCTAATCTCACAGGTGGAAGAAGATGAGCTGGAGGTGTTTGAGCTTCTGGAGGATTTCGCTGACAACGTCTCCTTCTGCAGCAACTCCTCTGTGGTGTCACGGCTGCTGCAGAAGGGCCGTGAAGAACACAAGGTAAGACGTTCATTCTGCATTGTTACAGGTTGCTGTTGTTAATCTACAGAGTCACCTCCTCTTCCTTTTCCCCCACAAACATGTGTCTTTTTCAAATTCCAATTGTGTAATATATGACTCTTTGACGAACTGACTTTCTTGCAGGTAAATGTGAAAAATGTCAAGGCTGTTATTGAAGCTAAGAAGTATGAGAAGGAGAAGCTAACTGGACATGGTACCAACAGTGGATCAAGGAAACCTCAGCTCCCTGCAGACACTGAGATGTCCCCCAAGGGGAGAGACACGTCACTGATAGACGGGGTGGACCTCGACACTTCCTCCGACACCCTCACAGACTCCTCATCCTCCACGGAGTCTTCAGACGAGGAGTATGAGAAGGTCAAGGTCACACCCACGAAGAAGACCGATGTGAGATCTAGTGAAGTGAATCAGTCATATGAGGCATTATTTGATCAAAGTCAAAAGGAAGGATTTGTGTTTGTGAACAATAAAAACAGCGATAGTGACGCTTTTAGATCATCTGATTCAGAAATACGGACTTCAGTGCCTTTGTCTCCAACCAAATCATTGACTCGCAAAATCGCTGTTAAAGATGCTAGGCTTGGCGACTCCAGCGAGATGCAGTCTATTCTGGAGAGACTGGCAGCCGGGAACGAGGGAGTGTCGAAAGGGCCGGACGTACACGTAGGGGTCATGACAGATCCCAGAAGGTCTCGGGACCAGGTGATAGTGAATCAGATGTTTCATGGTGACCCCATTGGTGGTGGTCCCCAGACCAAAAGCTCAAGCAGCAGTGAGGATAGTACCGAAGAAGACGATAGTGACACTAGCATTACCCAGGTCAAAGGTCAGAAGTCACATGATCCAGAGGTGGAGGACACCTCCATGTTTGATGATGAGGCTGAGTGGGCAGTTTCAGCTCCACAAACACAGGTGGCCATTTTGGGTAAGGCTTCTGCAAAATTATTAACACAACTTCAGTGGTAGAATCGGGAATCATTTTTGTGGAAGCCTTTGATGGCTGAGTGGGTTAGATTGCTGACTTTGTGTGCTGGTGATTGGTTGCCTGACTCTTGAGATGTTTGGTTTTAATCCTGAATGACGCGACCCTTAAAAGTACAAGAATCTCTACTTTACTACGAAATCATAATCCAATATATAACATATGCTATGTTTTTTTATGCATAGATGCTGAGTCGGCGAATCAGGAGGCTGACAAGTCGACGCCACCTACATCCCGACTGGTTGCGCGACTGTTCCCCAAACTAAAGAACACGAACCAGGTGAAACAGGCAGAGAAACACCAACAGGTAGGCAGTCTGAGGTCGTATTTATAGGTCATGGTCTTCACATTTGATACTGACCACACACTGTCAGTAATTCCAGTTTTCTGTCAATCTCCAGTGAATACATAGAGCTCATTTGCAATGTAGTCACTATTTTTAACCAGCAAATCAAAACAGCTGTTGATCCTGACCAATGAACACTCAGATTACTTGACACAAATGTGAACCCGTGTGTTTCAGGAACAGCAGAAGCTGCAGGCAGCTGCCAAGGCAGCGCTAGGTGATGGGGTGCAGTCCAAGATTCTTCGGGATAAACTGTCTGAGCTCGACAAGGAGATCGAGAAATTCCGTAACGAAAACGCTGGTCTTGAAAAGTTGCGGAAAGACAGAGAGGAGGTGAGTGTTTGCTAGTTGGCACGTTACTTTTATATAGCTGGTTGCCATGGTTTCAGATCATCCTCGACATATCACAATTGATATACAGACTACTACGTTTGTAACCCATGATCGTGAATCCCTGTTTTCCCAAATTGTGTCCCTTGGTTTGCTAACACTATGCCTTAGCTTATTGCTTTCATCAAACGCTAAAATATCTGCGACCTTTTGGCTTTCCTTCTCTATGAAGCTGACACACCCTGATGCAACTGTGTGGCTCAAAGAGATATTCTTTTCAAGCAGACATTTATGACAATTTGAGGTATAATAGCCTGGATTGAGGATGATCCACCCTGTGTTCCAGTTGTTGGGCAAGTTGCGACAGGAGATCTGTGATTTTGAGAAGGAGAAGGACTTGGAGGTGAAGAGCCTGGAAGAGTTCCGTGCCCAGGAGATTAAAAAGCTCAAGTAGGTGTTTGGTTTTCATTTTTTTCTGGAATATCCATCAATGAGGAAACACTACTTAAAGGTCACATAAACCCTAGGGGTAAAAATACATAAATCACTAACTGGCATCGTTATAAATGAAACCCCGCCATTAAAACTACTCATTTCGACCTTTAATTGACTTAAATCGACCTTTTGACAACAGTGCACAATTTCACCCGCGAACTAAATTTCAACCAATCAGAGCGGCGCGACTCTGTGACGCCATATGAGGAATAGCTTTGAGGGCCGATGCAGAATTCATCTACATTTTAGGGGGTAAATTATCTTGTTTACAGGCTTGTATAAACCTGAAATCGTGACAATTGTTGTGGAAAATGAAAGCTATATGTTCTCACAATCTACTGGCATTTAATTTTGTCTCCTGCTTTGCCTAGTTTCCGAAGTTACAACTTGTTTTCATAGACGCTTCTGTCACAATTGATTGGTGTCGTTAGGCCCCTATTTGTATAATGACTGATCCAAATTGATCCCATTTCTGTGTTTTTTACCTCGATATTTAATCATGTCATGTAAAAATCTGTTTGTATTCTCAAAACAGTGTCGGCCCATAAGTTTTCACATGCAATACAGCAATTAATACTCCCTTGTTGTAACCCGTGTTAGGTGGTATAAACCTACACATGTTATTTGTCATCATTCACTTGATGGTCAGTTAATGAATTTATAACAGGTATAATTAGTGGTAACACACTTAGATTACCCGACAAAGGTTCCCATTTGGCATTTCTTGTGTCTGGAGTAAATATTCAACATTATAAACATCGATCAAAGGATTAACCGATAACACGCTGATTGATTAATTACTTTTATCTTACACAGCGGAATTGTCAAAAGGTAGTGTTTATGTATGTAGATTTACTAATCTATACTGAATACACTCTGCCGTGGTCGGTGTTCATGAAAAACAACGCCCTTCTTTCAAAGGATTAACCGCAATACATTGATTGATTGCCCATTATTGGCTAACTAAATTACTGTTTTAATGAAAGGCGGACATTATGCAATTAGTTGCCAGGTGTGCTATCTTGGGTGACCAATGAGACTATACACCAATACCTGAAAAGATTTATCACTTTTTCAGATATTAAACTGTTAAAAGACACATCATTTGGAACAGTTTTGTGGATATTGATGGATACATTCCTCAAACAAGGTAATGGCCTGATATTGTTCCTATAACTTTAATCTGTTTTAATTTTAATATTTGCATTTTGTTTTTTATTCATTTGTCGTAGCATTCAACAGAATCATTGTTTTCGCGTGAAGTGTAATGAGACAGACAACATACACTAGGGTGTGTGTGCTAATTATGATTCACATTGGCAAACTATAAAATGTCTAGATATTACAGTTCTGTTATAAATTCACTATAAGTATCAGCAGATCGTCAGCTTTTATTTAGTTTCAAAATGCATAAAAGTATGATAATAAACTAATTAGGATTATAAGACCAAATATAAAGACGCATTACTGACTAGTATCTACATACTGGTGAGTGGACATTAACCATGTGAATGTAGCAAGAAATTTATCGCAGTATTGTGACTTCGACCCCACCTCGCCTGTGGAAGAAATCGCTATGTTATAAGTTGTGTCATGCAAAATCCTTTTGGTTATGATTCCAATACATATTTAACTATTTAGTAGAAAGTAGTTTTGATTTTCTAACTTGATGAAAACAAACTATAATCTCATTAATTCTAACAGACTTTACGATTTTCAAAAATGGCGCTCTGTCGGGAACATCCGCCAGTCTGTGGATAAATGCTATTTAGGTTTGTTTTCACCGAAGTTACAAAATCAAAACTACTTTCTACTGGTAGTAAAATATGTATTTTATTGATGGCCAATAGGATTTTGCATGACATAGCGTGATAACATAACAATTTCTCTCCTGGCAGCGCAGGTGGGTGTCAATATAATACTACTTACAATATTATTGTTACTTCGACCACAACCTCACTCGAGGAAGAAATCGCTATGTTACAAGTTGTGTTATGGAAAATCTTTATGGTCATCAATCATATACATATTTTACTATAACTAGTAAGTAGTTTTGATTCTTTAACTTCCGCGGAAGCTTATCTGAACACAAGTAAGATATCGCTTCAGGCTTCCACAACGCCGCTTCGCGACTCACAAACATAACCCATTTAGCAATTTAACCGCGGGTCCTGTGGAAATCTGTGCATGGTGACACCATCACCCGACCCCTAGGAGCAATTGACGACAAAGCAACGATTCGCATGTCGCCGCTCATGTCGAGAAATCATCAAATGATGAGAGCGCATACACACTTTCTATACAACTAACTGAAAATCGCTCCTCATATGACGCCACTGCAGTGCTCTGGCGACAGAGTTACGTGAACCTGTCTGTGGTTTTCTGCATGGCTTAGAGGGAAGCAGGCTTAATTTTTGGCCACTTTTAATCGCCGGGTATTAATTAACCACAAGTTTTAAAGAATAAATTTGGTGTTCCGCGATAAGACTAACCACAAATCTTTCATATGTAATGGTTAAAAGAGTAACAAAAAACAAAGTTTAGTGGTTCTTTAACATTCAGTGTGGTGTGTGTGAGTCAATACATTCAGTGGGTGTGTGTGAGTCAATACATTCAGTGGGTGTGTGTGAGTCAATACATTCAGTGGGTGTGTGTGAGTCAATACATTCAGTGGGTGTGTGTGAGTCAATACATTCAGTGGGTGTGTGTGAGTCAATACATTCAGTGGGTGTGTTGTCTGCTGCAGTTGTCGGAGCTGCAGGACGAGATGAAGAAGAAGGAAGCGAGGTGGACGTCGGCAAACAACCGTCTGCGTCAGCGTGGAGGTAGTGGAGATGGAGAACCAAGAGCTGAAGGAGGAGGAGGTCAAGTTGCTGAGATGGAAGCGGAGTGGTGACGCCAAGAGATGATGCAGCGGGAGACATGATGCTTTGAAGAAGGTAGGTGGGCCCTAGCGGAATGTTGCCCGGTACATCCACTAGGGGAGTGAGTGGTTTTACATGATGCTTTGAAACAGTGCAGTGGTGGACACAGAAGGTAGGTAAGCCCTAACAGGAATGTTGCGGTACATCCACTAGGGAGTGAGTGGTTTTACATGATGCTTTGAAACAGTGCAGTGGTGGACACAGAAGGTAGGTCGCCCCTAACAGGGGATGTTGCCGCACGTCCACTAGAGGGAGTGAGTGGTTTTACATGATGCTTTGAAACAGTGCAGTGGTGGACACAGAAGGTAGGTCGCCCTAACAGGGAATGTTGCCGGTACGTCCACTAGGGGAGTGAGTGGTTTTACATGATGCTTTGGAACAGTGCAGTGGTGGACACAGAAGGTAGGTCGCCCTAAGGGGATGTTGCGGTACGTCCACTAGGGGAGTGAGTGGTTTTACATGATGCTTTGAAACAGTGCAGTGGTGGACACAGAAGGTAGGTCGCCCTAACAGGGATGTTGCCGGTACGTCCACTAGGGGAGTGAGTGGTTTTACATGATGCTTTGGAACAGTGCAGTGGTGGACACAGAACGTAGGTCGCCCTAACAGGGGATGTTGCTGGTACGTCCACTAGGGGAGTGAGTGGTTTTAGATGATGCTTTGAAACAGTGCAGTGGTGGACACAGAAGGTAGGTCGCCCTAACAGGGGTTGTTGCCAGTACGTCCACTAGGGAGTGAGTGGTTTTACATGATGCTTTGAAACAGTGCAGTGGTGGACACAGAAGGTAGGTCAGCCCTAACAGGGATGTTGCCGATGCGTCCACTAGGGGAGTGAGTGGTTTTACATGATGCTTTGGAACAGTGCAGTGGTGGACACAGAACGTGGAATTAAGCCCTAACAGGGGGATGTTGCTGGTGCGTCCACTAGGTGAGTGGTTTTAGATGATGCTTTGAAACAGTGCAGTGGTGGACACAGAAAGTAGGTCGCCCTAACAGGGGTTGTTGCCAGTACGTCCACTAGGGAGTGAGTGGTTTTACATGATGCTTTGAAACAGTGCAGTGGTGGACACAGAAGGTAGGTCGCCCTAACAGGGGGATGTTGCCAGCAGTTCCTCTGAGGAAGGGAGTGGTTAACTTGATACCTTGAAACACGGCAGTGGTGTGGGTTGTACGTGTATACCATAGGTATGGGTATAGTGAAACGGAACCAGGCCATGATTCATTTGCTTGTGCAAAAAACATCCAGTAGATGAAGTATTGACTGTGTTGTTCAGTGGCTAGAATTAGGCAGTGTTGTGGGTGAGGTCTGTGTGTAGTATTTCACGCTGATCTCTAAATGCCACAAATGCCAGTCATCTGATGTTGGTCAATGGAAATTGTTGCTTGTTGTCAGAATGGCGTCCAAAAGAGTTTCCCACGGAGCAGCACTCCAACAGAGGACAAGGAGAGGGGTTTCAATAGTGCAGCCAACGTCAGCCATGGTCAGTTATGCAACAATCTGTATTCAGTGGTTGTAGGAATCGTAGTTGAGCAGAGAGAGTACATTCCCATTATCATGTAACATACGACCTACCAATCGCAGATTATATAGTCCGTTTGGCTCAAAATCAGACCGATGAATTGCAATCTAACTGGAAAACTAATAAACATAAACTACTCAATGAATGCTGATCATAATGAAACATCGACTATAGGTCCAGCATGAATTATTGTTAATAAGACGTTTTCAACATTAATTCATGAGGAACATTCTGTTACATTTTGCTTTTTGCAGGGCAGGGACTGAAGTCCTAGATACTAGGAGTCAGCCGTCAAGTCACTTCCCTCCAAACATGGTCACCCATCCAAGGACTCTCTAAAATGCGTGACCAGGAATCTGGCACACCCTGAATCTTTGGTGTTGTTCTTTTTCTTTTCACATTTGTTATTTACCAAATAACCTCAATGAATGGAAATGAGCTGGACGAAATATCTCCATCAACATTTAACTTCAACTGATCTGTCATTATAATAATGCGAGAAGACTGACCTGCTCTATGCACATGCTCAAAACACTAAATTCACAAGCCACCATGAAGCTCTAGAAGGTTAATAGTCACATGAATTATCCCACCACCCATTCACTGCTGGGTGAACATAACTTGTGTTAGTTCAGGTGATGAAGGTTCCAAACATGGTCACCCATGAAGCCCAAGAAACTACAGCTGATCTGTCGAACAAAGTATCATTGTGGAAAGTCCTGTGATGAAGGTGTATAAGGTGCTGGTACTTGAAAGGTGTATAAGGTTTACTTTATGTTTCTAAGCAGTTCATAATATGATGTCATTCCAGATCTTCAAGTCAGTCCCCCGATGATGACACCAGCTCTGTCGGTGCCGTTGTCAACCTTCCTCGGAAACAAACCACCAAGTTCTCGTCAGAGAATCCTGCTATCGACAAGGGTGACCGAGAATATGAGGAGACCCAGTACCCAGACGGGAAGGTCAGTCATGATGCTAAGTAATGTAGTATGTGATATGGGAAATTCTTCCTGCACATGCCAGAATACGTTCTGCTCACTTTGGGCTGTAGCGCAGTCCAGATAATGCTTTCAATGTTGTGAATAGCAAATTAGCCATCATGAGACATCAGTTCAAACAGCTTAGAAATAGGATCAATGTTGTTTTTTACTTTTCCACAGTACTGGTGTAATTACTTGTTCTCAGACCTGTGAATATTGATCTTAAGAGGCGACTAACGGGATCGGGTGGTCAGGCTCGCTGACTTGGTTCACACGTCATCGGTTCCCAATTGCGCAGATCAATGCTCATGTTGTTGATCACTGGATTGTCTGTTCCAGACTCGATTATTTACAGACCTCTGCCATATAGCTGGAATATTGCTGAGTGTGGTGTAAAACTTAACACACTCACTTGTTCTCAGAGTTTGTAGCTGGGAGCTTGAATGTGATATGCATGTGTACTTTGTCAGTTATATTCATTTGCAATTTGTATCTTTAAGGTCTGGTTTAGAATTATACTCCTGCGTCCTTCCAGTCAGTGAGGACCATCATCTCTAGATTTTCACTTCTATTAAGTAGTCTCTGGCAAATATACTGGCATAAAATTCGAAGGCAGATAAAAAGCCATGCTACTCAGAACCCTCAGTCTAGTAAAAGTTCGCAGGTTAAATAAGCTCAGCCAACAAAAGCCTCTATCGAAAGATCATTGCTCATGATATCAATCACTGGATTGTCTCATCCACGCTTGATATGTTAGAGGTTGGCATCATATAGAACATCACTGAGTATGGACTAATCTCACAATATATCGTGTGCATGAATCAGTGAGCCTATGTCAGATGTTCTGATAGTTATGGTCTACTCTGTGTCCCCAGGTGGAGAGAATGTACAGTAATGGGGCCCGGGAAATACTTTTTGCCAACGGAACAAGGAAGGAGATCTCATCAGATGGCCAGTCAATCATAGTGTCCTTCTTTAATGGCGACATTAAACAGATCTTCCCAGACCAACGAGTGGTGAGTGGCAGTTTGTAGCCAGGTACTCTCATTGTACACACCCCATACAGTACGATGACACCACACAGACCACATTTTAGAAATTGGACACCTTATTTTTTGTGTTCAGTATATAAAGGAAGTTATTGATGCTGATGGATCCAGAAATGAAATGCGAGGAAGTAAGACCCCTGCCCCCATCCGTTCACACATCTTACATATTAGTTTGTCATGGTAGTTTGTTTACGTCAGGACTTGTGTACAGAGTGTGCGTCTCTATTTGGAAATTCTTTGATCCATTTCTGCTTTGTCGTGGAATATAAACTAACATAGTGTGGTTCCTCTCCAAACTATTGAGAACCCATGTAGTCAGCTGCTGAAAGGAGGATCTCTAGAATCAAATTTATATATTTTTAAGGTGATTGTATACTTGTATTTCTGTTGTTTTAGGTGTATTTCTACGCTGATGCTCAGACCACCCACACAACTTACCCTGATGGCCTGGAGATCCTGCAGTTTCAGAAGTAAGCTACACCAACATTGTGTTGTCAGTTGTCATTATGTGTTGTCAGTTGTCATTATGTGTTGTCAGTTGTCATCATGAATTGTCAGTGGTCATGTATTGTCAGTGGTCATTGTGTGTTGTCAGCTGTCATTATGTGTTGTCATTGTGTGTTGTCAGCTGTCATTATCAGTTGTCATTATTTGTTGTCAGTTGTCATTGTGTGTTGTCAGTTGTCATTATGTGTTGTCAGCTGTCATTATGTGTTGTCAGCTGTCATTATCAGTTATCATTATTTCTTGTCAGTTGTCATTGTGTGTTGTCAGTTGTCATTGTGTGTTGTCAGTTGTCATTATGTGTTGTCAGCTGTCATTATCAGTTATCATTATTTCTTGTCAGTTGTCATTGTGTGTTGTCAGTTGTCATTATGTGTTGTCAGCTGTCATTATCTGTTGTCATTATTTGTTGTCAGTTGTCATTGTGTGTTGTCAGTTGTCATTATCTGTTGTCATTATGTGTTGTCAGTTGTCATTATGTGTTGTCAGTTGTCATTGTGTGTTGTCAGTTGTCATTATGTGTTGTCAGCTGTCATTATCTGTTGTCATTATTTGTTGTCAGTTGTCATTATGTGTTGTCAGCTGTCATTATCTGTTGTCATTATGTGTTGTCAGTTGTCATTATCTGTTGTCAGTTGTCATTATGTGTTGTCAGTTGTCATTATCTGTTGTCAGTTGTCATTATGTGTTGTCAGTTGTCATTATGTGTTGTCAGTTGTCATTATGTGTTGTCAGTTGTCATTATCTGTTGTCAGTTGCCATTATCTGTTGTCAGTTGTCATTATCTGTTGTCAGTTGTCATGTGTTGTCAGTTGTCATAATGTGTTGTCAGTTGTCATTATCTGTTGTCAGTTGTCATTATCTGTTGTCATTTGTGTTGTCAGTTGTCATAATGTGTTGTCAGTTGTCATTATGTGTTGTCAGTTGTCATTATGTCGTTGTCATTATGTGTTGTCAGCTGTCATTATCTGTTGTCATTATGTGTTGTCAGTTGTCATTATGTGTTGTCAGTTGTCATTATGTGTTGTCAGTTGTCATTATCTGTTGTCAGTCTGTTGTCATGTGTGTTGTCATTATCTGTTTGTCAGTTGTCATTATCTGTTGTCAGTTGTGATTATCTGTTGTCATTATGTGTTGTCAGTTGTCATTATCTGTTGTCATTATGTGTTGTCAGTTGTCATTATGTGTTGTCAGTTGTCATTATGTGTTGTCAGTTGTCATTATCTGTTGTCAGTTGTCATTATCTGTTGTCATTATGTGTTGTCAGTTGTCATTATGTGTTGTCAGCTGTCATTATGTGTTGTCAGCTGTCATTATCTGTTGTCATTATGTGTTGTCAACTGTCATTATCTGTGGTCAGTTGCCATTAAGTGTTGTCAGTTGTCATTATGTGTTGTCAGTTGTCATTATGTGTTGTCAGTTGTCATTATGGGTTGTCATTATGTGTTGTCAGTTGTCATTATGTGTTGTCATTATGTGTTGTCAGTTGTCATTATGGGTTGTCATTATGGGTTGTTAGTTGTCATTATGGGTTGTCAGTTGTCATTATGGGTTGTCATTATGTGTTGTCAGTTGTCATTATGTGTTGTCAGTTGTCATTGTGTGTTGTCAGCTGTCATTATCTGTTGTCAGTTGTCATTATCTGTTGTCAGTTGTCATTGTGTATTGTCAGTTGTCATTGTGTGTTGTCAGCTGTCATTATCAGTTGTCATTGTGTGTTGTCAGTTGTCATTGTGTGTTGTGATTATGTGTTGTCAGTTGTCATTATCGTGTTGTCAGTTGTCATTGTGTGTTGTCAGTTGTCACTATGTATTGTCAGTTGTCATTGCCTGTTGTCAGCTGTCATTATGTGTTGTCAGCTGTCATTGTGTGTTGTCAGTTGTCATTATGTGTTGTCAGTTGTCATTATGTGTTGTCAGCTGTCATTATGTGTTGTCAGCTGTCATTATCAGTTGTCATTGTGTGTTGTCAGCTGTCATTATGAGTTGTCATTATGTGTTGTCAGTTGTCATTGTGTGTTGTCAGTTGTCATTATGTGTTGTCAGTTGTCATTATGTGTTGTGATTATGTGTTGTCAGTTGTCATGTGCTGTCAGTTGTCATGTGTTGCAGGTCGTATTAAGTATCAAATGTCTGGAAATGTCATTTGGGACTGACGATGATACTGTGTGGGCTCAAAAGTAACAATTTAGGGCATATTTTAGAATGGGCAATTTCAAGTTTCAGAGTTTTGTATTATTTCTATGAAACTGTCCAATTAGATATTCTTTTATCAGTGATAAGGTCATCTTACATCACCCAAAAAGACTTGAAAGTTATAAAATGTGTAAAAAGTTGTAGGCTATGTCTGATTCAAAATGCCCTCCTTCTTATAACCATAGCAACCAGATAGAGAAGCACTACCCAGATGGCACGAAGGAGATCACATTCCCAGACCAGACCATCAAGTATCTGTTTCCGAATGGGTCGAGGAGAGCATCTTCCCTGATGGCACCGTGATCCGCGTGGAAGACTGGAGACAAGACCATGGAGTTTCCGAATGGTCAGCGAGAAATACACACTGAGGCGTTCAAGGTATGTCAGACTCTTAGGGTGACACAGTAGGACATCTGAGGAGGACCATTCATGTATTCTATCTTGTCCTTGGTGGTTAAGTTGTTTGAGTTGCTGTACTTCCGTGCACAGAGTTATGTCCCTTAGGTGAACCAGAAACCGTGGATTATAAGTTTAGCACAGTGCTTGGGGTTTCACCAAAATTGTAGCCATGGTGAACTGGATCACTGTGGTGTTTCAAGCCTACATCTTATGATGTATTGCACAGCTGATATTTACCTGTATTGGTCGCTGAACACCAACCTTTCATGTCCATCTGTGAAGATTGTCAACGTGTTTGGTGTTAGATAGAGAATGAGGACTGTATAAATCCTGTCTGACAGGATGTGTGATTCTGTGTAGTTCTGTATTGTACAGGCATTTCATCCTATGTACAGCATTCTTTGGTGTCTCCTTTGTGACCTAAGGGTGGTGGAGTAGACACGTGATTTCAAGCGGTCGCTTGTCACACTGAAGACCTGGGTTCAGTTCCCCTATGGGTACAATATGTGTGGCCCATTTCTGGTGTCCCCAGCTGTGATATTGCTTGAATATTGCTAAAAGCAGCATAAAGCTCACCTTAGCGACTTTGTTTGAAATATACTTCTGTTCGGTAGGAGGTATGTACCCAGTAGAAGATGGTATTGTAAGTGTTAACCTGTATAGCATCTCACAGGCTCCTTGGGTTAAATCATCCTCAGGGAGCCTAGGATAGCATCTGAGTGCAATATGATCCGCTGTGTGGGATGATTAGATCTGTGATGGTCTAACCATATTTGCGCAGTTATTAATGGAAAGGGTGCCATAAAGGTTTATTATAGATAATTCTATAAAACAATAACCTGTGCCTATTGTTTCAGAGGAGGGAATATCCAGATGGCACAGTGAAGACTGTGTACCCTGACGGCCGCCAGGAGACTCGGTACTCTACAGGGAGGATACGGCTCAAGGACAAGGACGGGAACGTCATCATGGATCGGATGTGTTGACAGCAGCGTCACCGTACATCATGTTCCTGGTGGTTTTATATGAGGTGCCATATTCAGGTGGTTAAAGACTTGGGTTCGATTCCGCACAGGTACAATGTGTGGAGCTCATTTGCTATCCCCTGCCATGATATTGCTGGAATATCGCTACAAGTGACATAAAACAGTACTCTCTTCCTGATGATGTACAGGACTGCTGTGACAAGTTAGTGATGTCCTTTAATACAACTGCAGTTGCTATGGTTACTAGAGTTGTCATCATCACTCAGCTGATGTGGAATGTATTGTGATAACATTGGACAAGTGAATGGATGAAGTGACTCCTTGCATCACAATGGACTGAAACGTTTAGCTGTGGTATACATCAGCCTTGTATTTGTACACCATCCTTTTGTCTTGTGGAACTTGTTGAAGCCAGGTGCCCATCCAAACATAGTCTGTTTGTGTACCTTCTTTGTACCTATTGGATGTGATGGACAAGACAAAGATGCCTCCACCAAGATAATTCTGGTGTTTACGAGTATCTATTGGATCTGATGGACAAAACAAACTTGCCTCCACCAAGATAGGTCTTGTGTTTATCTTTTGGATCTGATGGACAAAACAAACTTGCCTCCGCCAAGATAGGTCTAGTGTCTATCTATTGGGTCTGATGGACAAAACAAACTTGCCTCTGCCAAGATAGGTCTGGTATCCATCTATTGGATCTGATGGACAAAACAAACTTGTTTCCACCAAGTTAGGTCTGGGGTTTATCTTTTGGATCTGATGGACAACTCAAAGGTGCCTCCACCACAATAAATCTGGTGTTTATGTCTACTGGATCTCATGGACAATACAAAGGTGCCTCCACCAAGATATAAGCCTTTGTGTCAAGTAGAGCTTATGGACAACGCAGATGCCTGTTCCATTTTCCTTTCTGACCATGACAAGTGAAGTGCTTCATGACATTTGAAACATGACAGTTTCAGTTACAGATAGAATATAGTTGCCAGCTCCATCAAGTTTTGAGCTAGTACATGTGTGGAACTGTTATCTGATTATTGCCAGGAGCACATGGACGCCAGGCCTGGGTGAATGAGTGAAACATGTTAACGTGTTTTAGTTTTCTATAGCCTCCTTTACATGGGGCATGTAAAACTTTAAGATCACAAAAGAAATATTTATGTCGGGTGCCTGATGTCTGTGATATTCCTAGGTCACAAATATTTTGCCAATGTGTAAGCATCTTAACCTCTTAGTGATTGACTTTACTTCCTCATTGGAGGACTCAAACTCTGCTGTTTTTGAAGTTGCAGCATTTTACTTATGAAAAGGTTCTGCATTTCATTATGGAGGTATTATCAGAAAGGCAAGAATTTTATGGATGTCAACTTCTTTATTGTGATCGACACGATGTTTCGGAGTATATTCTTACTCCTTCATCAGGTGAAATGAAGACATTTATTGAGGAAGGACTTGCTTCAGGAGAATATATAGAAATGTTGACAAAATAAAAAATGTCTGAAGATGATTTGTTAAACATTTGGTGCATGTTTTGGTGATCTTTCACTGCAAAACCATGACATTGTCACAATTCAATTAAACACGAAAGTATACTTCTAAAAAAAATTCAAGAACACTCAATATTGCTGTAGTTACTAAAGAACATATCATGTCTTTAACATCTTTTGTGTATAACAGATTTTTTTATTTGGGATTACACTTTCTTAGTAAAGTACAAATTCTAGTACTTTAGTCCCATCCGAGATTCGTACCCACACCCTCAGAGTAAGGCACCTAATTGCCAGCTTACAAAGTCAGCCATCTAACCCACTGCAACTTCCTCTTGTGGTGATTAGTTGCACGATCTGAGGGTGTGGGTTCAAATTCCTGAGGGGACTCACCCTAACAAAAGAACTAGACTTTGTTCTTTACTAAGAAAGTGTAATCCCAAATATAACATATGCAACATTTGACCACTTTCTAAATGGCATTTTGTAATCATATCTTTAGAGCAGTGAATCATACTGAAAAATCTGTTAAGTTCTGTGAGCCAAAAGAACCCAAACCCTCCAGTATCTGTGCTTATCAGGTGGACATTTGTTTTCCTTCCTTGAATTAGCACCAAGTTAAAAATTATGAATTTTAGACCATATCCTACACGTGGGTTTTACCATCATGGACATCAAGTTACCTTTTTATCACATTGTTTCTTAGTCATGAAATGTAACACAAAGAAAAGTAGCTTTGATCTTTGGTAATATTAACAGGCTGTTACACATGCACAATTTTACGCCACAGATTTTCAGTGAAGTAGATCCAAAACCATCAAATGGATTCAGATTTATTTTAATAGTCTATGAAAATGGAATATCAGATGAATTGGGTAATTTCATGTATCAAATCTTTCAGGTTAAGGATCGTGTTGCAGTTTATCTAAATGAAAGAAGTACCATGAAATGTCATTTTTCTAAGAACCTTTTACAGATTTAATAGAACATGTAACTCTTCTTCCTTAATCTTTATACTGAAGCAATCTGTCTCTTCTGTAGATTTGTGTATTTTAAGATGTAAAAGCATTTATGATGTGATATAGTTGTGCTCTGCCTCACGCAGCTGATAAATTGTACAGATCTCCACAAGTGCCTTGCAGCCAGTGTTATATACAATCTTCAAGATGAATAAAGGAATGAAATTAAAACGATTGTTTCTTCTTGAGATTGATTCAGCAAAGTTCACAAATATGCAGGGATTCAAGATTCAGACATTTCATAACTGTTGACAGCCCACCTTGCACTTTCTCCATAAAAAGTTGTTTTCAATTTTTAGCTTTACAGAGAATAGAAGTGAGTATTTGAATAGGGCAGATGAAACATCTTGGATGAAAAGACAACCAATTTCATAGCAATATATCATAGTACTCACTACACAACAGACATCTCACAGGAGCATGAACACAACGTGTTTAATGTTAAGTCAGTGAATTCAAGAATTCAAGTGGATTAATAGTAATTCCCTCAATGACTTGATTAGTTAATACCAGGCCTCTGAAATCAGCCATGCTAGCATATACGAGGATGGTTAAAAATATTCAGTCTTCACAAGACCAATGTTCCTGACTTATTTCTCAGACTTGATCTGTTGTAGAATAAATCCAAATCAAATATTTTTAACTAGATTCTGAAATAGCTTTTGAAAGTATATAAACCATGTCATGTGACATTCATATTGTTTTGAAAACATGCAACCAATGTGATGCACTCCTACGATGGTCGTCACTCATAATTCTGACTCCAAACGAAGTAATAATCTAAAAATATTTGAGGATAAAATACCAAAACCTGAAATATTATACATCAAATTTATTTCACTTAAACATTTAAATACAATGCACCAGTCACATAATAGTAATTTTTGTACAGATAACGTGCTTTGGAAAAATGTACATATAGTATCTGATGAATCTATCAAAATGCCTTCGCTTTACTTAGCACATTTAATAAATGTATCCACTTTTACCACAGTGAATAGAAAGAGCGAACAAGCCTGGACTTGAATTGTCAGATCTCATTTGTACTGATGCTGGACTTGAGCATGATAATCTCCATCAGAATACCCGGTATCCTCTTTCTGACCAGTCCTTCCCTTTTAGCGTCCAATTGTGTGACAATATCCACTGGCTGTGTGTGATAGCCCCAGTTTTCTTCCATGGGACATGAATAGGCACCAAAAGAGTGAATCAGTAGGAACTTCAAATAGTGATCCAAATTAGCTGTACACTGGAGTTCAGTGCACAGAGGCATTTATAGGATGATTGCGGAGATGAACATGCGCATATAGTTACTGAATTTAGTCCACAATGAAGTCTTTATCACACTAAATATCGTCATCATCCTCTGGCAGAGCAAGCCCTTGTGCTGTCTGAAACATAACAGGATATTTATCACATCATGTGAAGTGTTTTCAATGAACTAGGTATAAAGTGTTTGGATGGCATTTAGAAATGATGCCCATAATAGGGGAGTTTATGGATGTCAACTTCTAAATTATGAGAAACACTATATTTCAAAGTATGTTCTTATTCCTTCATGAGGTTAATGAATAACATGGAAGCAGACAGCTATATAAGTACATGTGAAAAACCATCAGTGATAAGATAATGATGATCGGCACTTTACAAGGGAAGACAGTAGTTAATTGCCACTGATCTTAGCTTGACACAGCAGATCTAACTGCACCAAATTCAATTTGGAAATGAAACTGCTGTAATTTGTAACTGTCACTACTTCAAATGCTTAACAATTTTTCAGAGCTGTTTATGGTGAATCCACTGACTAATCACAATTATATGGAATGTGTTCAAAATTTATGGTAGAACATGCTTTGACAAAAAGTTAATTACATCTGGTTGACGTGTCAACCAAGTCAGCGAGCCTGACCACCCATAGTCGCCTCTTACCACAAGCATCATACAGTATGTAACTTATTACTGCCAACAGCTTACATAACATGTGGCTCACCTTCAACTCTTCCTCGTATTTCTCCTTAAGCTCCTCATCCATTTGAACCTCTGGGGGCTGAAGAGCAGGCATGGCAACAAACTCCAGGTTGGGGTCACCCACCAGCTTACGTGCCAACCACAGGAATGGCTTCTCAAAGTTGTAGTTACTCTTAGCCGAGACATCATAGTACTGAAATAATAATTTGAAAGTTAGAGCAAACCCACTGACAATACAAACAATAAATCTCTTGACAACAGAACCACTGCCTTAACTCCAGAATTTTATTACTTTAAACAGACTAAGGTAATGCCAGCAAAGTTATAGGGCTGGGCAAATGTATTGCTCAACTACATTGGTGAATCATGATACACCCAACTGTGATTTCTTTGGTATCATTAACATATGTTATATTTAGGACTACTCTTTCTTAGTAAGGTACAGATTCTGGTACTTTTGCTGGGTCGAGTCACATCAGGAATTCAAACCCACACCCTCAGAGTCATGCAACTAATCACCACAAGAGGAAGCAGCAGTGGCTGACTGTGTGCTGACAATTAGGTGCTTAACTCTGAGGGTGTGGGTTTGAATCCTGGATGGGACTCAACCCAATGAAAGTACTGGAATCTGTACTTTACCAACTGTAATCCCAAATATACCATATGTCACATTTGACCACTTTCTAAATGGCATTGTGTATTTGGTAGCATTGCTGCCTTATAATACTCTATCTTTATCACAGCAGCCTAAATGTTTGGGCCAGACAAGCTTTTCATAGATATCTTTACATGTTGGTGTAGGCCAAATAATCAACAAATCATTCATTCTGATTATTTGTGTCATTCAATCTCCTCGACAAACACTAAGTTGCTGGGGATTGGTTCTAGCCAAATAATCCCCACTGTCCTCAGTATAGCAAATTTGTCAAAGTTCAAGCACAAGACTAGTGGACTCCAAGAAGTAAGGTATACCTGCAAGTTCTTCTTCCTATGGAAGGTGATGGTCTTGGCTTTCACTTTCCTGTCCTTGATATCCACTTTGTTGCCACACAGAACAATTGGCACGTTTTCACACACACGAACTAAGTCTCTATGCCAGTTAGGAACATTCTTATATGTCACACGAGACGTTACATCAAACATGATAATGGCACACTGTCCTGTGGAAACAAAACACAGCAGAATTAACACATGCCGCAACAAAGACCGACGGTTTGCAACTAAACTGAGGACTGAACTCGAATAGCTTCTTATTTGTGCCAAATCAATGAGAAAGGTGGCCAATAAGGATAGTTATTACTAATATTTACTCATACATATACATGATGTATATTAACCTACGTCCTGATATCAACAATGAACTACCATTGTTACAAAGATTCTATTTTCTACCTTCTGGCCTCATCTTCAAACGACAAAGAAAGAGACGTGAAGATCCTGACATATCTGGTGGTTTTATAGAACATCCGTCATGTGGGAGCTAGTGTGCATGCACAATGGAGGGGTCTGTTTTGATTTTGTGTTTTACTGTCATAGGGTAACAAACGCTTCCACTACATGTCAGGTTACATGAAAGAGAAGCAAATAGTATGAGTCTTATTTTTGCAGCTGACGATGCTGCTTTCATCTAAGTTCAACATACCCTGTATATAATAGCCATCTCTAAGACCACCGAACTTCTCCTGTCCTGCTGTGTCCCATACATTGAATTTGATCGGCCCTCTGTTTGTGTGGAACACAAGTGGATGCACTTCTACACCAAGTGTTGCTGTAGAACAGAAATAAACATTCCATGTAATCCCAATATAAGTTACACAAGTTCAACAGTACATGAAACTAATACCTGCCACAATTGTTATGTCAGTGGCCAGATGTTTTAATCAAAAATTTATCACAGATTCAATTTGTAAAAGAGCAGAATAGAACTTCACCAAGTTAGTTAATCAAACCAAGAAACTTTCTTTAAATTAAACATCCTAGTTCATGGCATAAATGGTATTCAAGGAGTAAACATAAGAAATGTTGGTGGTCATGTTCAGACAAAGTGACAGACAAGATTAAGCATGTAACAAAGACTCACCAACATATTTCTTTTCAAATTCTCCTGTCATGTATTTCTTTCAAATTCTGCTTGTCTTGCGGCGAATGTTGTTTTCCTACACCACCATCGCCTACCAAAACAAGCTGCAACAAATGACAAATCAAAGAGTTTCATTAACAGAAAAGAAAAGCCTAATGTTATAAAAATCATAAATCACAAATGAACCAGTCTGGTTAAATTGAACCAACCAGAGCCAAGTAAAACGTCTTGAGACAATGGATGGACATGCATGCATAATCAGGGTCAAGGAGAAAATGGTCCAAAGAAAAAGAACCAAACTAAACTAACAAAAACACAACAGAGTTTACGTTTAGTCAGATTTTTCTGGCTGTAATCGCGTTGAAACAAGTGTTGTATTAATTGATATGAGTACAATAACAAAAGAATTTGTAGGTGACAATTTGTGAGGATAATCCCTAAAATGGGCAATCACTTGGTCCTTACCTTAAACTGGACAAGATCTGTCAGTTGGCACTGCTGCATTTCTGCCATTGTTATCTGGAATAAAACAGGAATAGATAAGAAAACTAACAAAATACATCCTGGGATTACAAATCACAAATGCTGCACAAACCATGTTCTCCAAAGCTCGTGAGTTAACCAGCTATGTCATAAGTCATATTGGTTGAAAAGTTGTTAAGATCTATACCTGAATTGATTCATTTTCAGGGTTGAAATACCCCATATATCAAGCGTGCCATAGCACGGACAAAAATGTTCTCGGTGCCCCTATGGCACTTCTTAAGACATAACACACCTTTAGTCACTTAATAACCAAACACAAAACTTATGCAAATGACAAGCAAGTAAAAACATTTATTGACTTTATCGCCCAGGAAATCACTGGAATTATGATGGTTCATGTTATGAAATCTGGTTGTTTTTTCATTTTAGAGTGTTGGGAGTACTGACAGTTCAGCTATTGAAGAGGAAATTGTGTATGTTACATATATTGAAGAAAGTGTGCCTCTCTCACACAATTCTTAGCTATTAAAGGTGTTGGGAAAGCAGAACAAATGAAGCTTAAGAAAGCCATCTTAAACAGAAGACATATCAGTGATAACAGAAAACTGGTTACATTTGTTGTTTTCTGACAAAAAATTCAAAACATAATCATCTTTGCTACAGTCACTTATTCTAAAAACATGTGCACACACCTGATTTCTGAAAGGCACACCTAAAATATTTACCTGGTGCCCTAAGGCACACTTAGAAAAAAAAGTATTTCTATCCCTGATTTTGGATAGACTAATGGAGTAACTAAGTTTTCAATGATACTATTTGTTCACAGAATATGTCCTAACTGTGAAAGTCATGTGACAACAACGTAACATTATTTTGAGATCTAATCAAAGAAACACAATGCTATCTACACATTAATGTTAACATATCCCAGTCACAATGTTTTTCCATCATGTTTCCGAAGATCTTGCAGGGATAGGAAGTGCGCTTTTGTTTATTGACCTGTTTACGCAAGAAGAATAATGTTGTGGTGCATATATGAAACGAAATAAATGATTACTGATACTCCATTAATTTCCATTTAGTACTCTAAATGTACACTTAAGGTTTTCCAGTACTCCTATATTGAACAAATAAGGAGTACGTACTCCTGATGTTGAAAAATTATCTGGAGCCCTGTTGTGAATATATTTTTGTACAACAAAATGAAAGACCTGTTGAGTACATCGGTAAAATTAGGGTTACCTGAACTTACCACTTACTTTTCCAGACATCATTGCGTTGAAGCATTATATCAAGACAGCTATGTAGTCGCAAAATGCCTAACATCATATGAGTGCTTTTTGGTATGTCCAAATAAATTGGTCAGTTTCTTTGTTTAAGCAAATCAACTCACAAGACACAATATAAAAGCATTCTCCATCTCATCAGGAGAACACGCTAAGTAGTCTAACCACTTTAAGATCGTTTATTGCATCAGATAAGAGTTTAAATAACATACAACAGTAGAGGTGGTTGAGTGATCTCACACATGGCTGAGCTATTTTAGTTGGCTGTGGGGCTTTGAAAGTGGAATATCTTTACCATGTTTCAAAACATCTCAGAAATACTGATCTAGTGATCTCGTCAAGTCATTTTAGTTTAACAGTAAGGTAGATCTTTCAGGAAGTCCGATATCTATAATCTACGTACCTAAACACAGCACCAAACTTTTCCTCTCTATTTACTCCTTAGTCATACTCAATACGTTCACAGTCATACTGTGAAATAGAGGATGGGCGAAGTCATCGAAACACGAACTTCCGAGTTGTATCCTTGTTGTTATTTCAAATGAAACGTCCCTATAATTAACAAATACCTAGATATCCAGCACAAACTGAAAAAGTATTCATCATTCTAAAACATTCGGTTATAACTCTTTATGACCCTCTTTACATTTATAATGTAAACCCCAAGATCAAGGAAATAATTTCATAATGTTGGATTTTTTTGTACCACGCAAAGTGAAAAGTGACATGTAATTCACTCTACATCAGTATGGAATGTACAATCACACATGATAACGATGTAAGTTATGTTGAGAGAAGTTATACTCATAACATAGATCAACCGCCTGTGTTTTCAACACACTAGCCTCCATCAGCAGATTCGAATGGAAAATTCCATGCCGTCATCAGATGAAAGAAATCAAGAAAATCCCTGTAAGAGTTTCAGGGAGCATTATTCATTACCTCAGGTTCACATACAAATAGTTAAAACCATTTCAGACTGAAGATGCCTTCGATTGAATACCGATCTACCTACCTTTGCTTTTAGAGGACGACTGAAGAATGATAGCTCAGGTCTCTCAGGCAGTTTGAACCGGTTTTGGCGCGCAATGTCCGTGTATACGGAAGTTGACTGATTATCTCCCTTATACGATCAGCTGCGGTTCAGCTGATCGGACATAGGTGTTGATAATCACTGCTCTAGGGTGATAATTGTTAACTTGTTGTCTTCTTTTGACAGTAATGGAAGTCACAATTACTTACAGACATTCTTTTGATATATAGATGTGAAAATTTGGCGACCCAGAAGTGTTTGACTCCTGTAGTAACAAAGATCAATGAAGGACAGTTTGGCGCCAAATCTGCCGCCCACCGTCACCACAACCAAGCATTATGTACGTTATGTAACAGCAAGACGATTAAAGTGGGTGTGTGGGGTGGGGGTGCTGTGCGTCAGATGTGTGACACGTCTGGTTGGCGTTAATTAATATCAGGAGACACAACGAATTGTTTCCCGAACCAACGAACATGATCCGTTGGCGATTACACAAGCAGTTGCGTCATAATGTCTTGTTATGCGAATTCTAGTCACTATATATATCTGAAAAAACACCGCCCAAAATGCTCGCAAATCATCGTTTTCATCATCCTATTTTACGTATATCATAAAAAATAAAACGCTTGGAGCGCATGGGGGAAAACCTGAGCGTCAAATTAACGATATACCCCCCTTTTAATAGAGTACGTCTTTGAACGGCATGTAGTATTGAATTTATATCATCAAGGCGAGAATTTATTGGTGTCAACTTCCTTATATTGAGAGACACGGCGTTTCCGAATATATTCTTGCTTCTTCATCAGGTGGAAGGACCGTCGTGTCCCTCAAAATACAGCAGATGACAAAGTGGAACACTTTTTATGGATAGACAACTTCTTGTTGCAGTAGTAGTTGCGACGTTTCGGTGTAGATCCTAACACCGTTATCCAAAGGTACTATCAGAGAAATCCATAAAGTTCCACTTCATCATACCACTAAAACTTAAGGAAGTAAAGCAGGACATCCATAAATCGCCTTTATGCGTTTTCAAATGTACGATGGCCAGACCGACAATGGGGGTTCAGCCCATCCAGCAATTAAGTCTGGGGACCCTTGCCAATTTGTAGCGAAACGAAGTGGGGATTAAGTCTGGGGGACATTTTGGTTTTTTACGACTGGCAAGATGATGCGTTTATTTACAGTATATAGTATTTTCATGACATCATCACAAAAACGTGCATTTTATACACTTGTTCGTTCATTGATTCATAAATTAATCAATCACATTTCAAAGAAAAATGTTTTCATACATTACATGAAAGGGGATTTTAAAATTCTACAGTGAGACTAGTACTTCATCAATGGGAGAATACACATCTCAAGAAAGTATATAATTGTGCCATTGTGTGATCGTAACTTGAAATGGCCTGTGCTTGTTGTAAGAGGCGGCTTGATGTCAGACCAAGTGGCATATTCATAGCGATTCCTGGTACAGAAACACGTCACATCACACAGGGATATACGTAGAGATTATTACACTTTACTTTTTCATATCTTGCCCGATATCAGCCCGAGACACCCATATGTCGGGTATGGGTTGAGGGATGATATCGGACAACATATGAAAAATGAAGTGTAATAATCTTTTTATCAATTAATACCTGCCTAAATTTAGATTTTTTCACTCTCATGCGTTTTGTTTTTTATCTCTTTGTCCAAATACACGTGGTTTATTAAAAAATAGCTGACACAAACAACAAAGACAAATATTCCGTTCAATGAATTTAATAAATTCAGAAAATACAGAAAGACAGTGACAAGTTCACAGTGACGCACTCACAGCTTAATTAAGGTTACACAATGTATGTAATCACAAGTTGATTAGTAATTAACGAACCAGTTAAAGGATAAGTGGTCATTTTTTTAATACCTATGCACCTTACCTTCATCTTCACTTGTGACTCCTGAAATTTACCAGACTCTACGGGATGGGAGGTTAGGTCCATTCTCCCCTTTTCTTCTTGTTCACAATAAACATATAACCATTTACATGTATGTATCTTCCACTACGGGAAGTAGGAAGAAATTTATTGTGCACTTGCCATAACTGAAGTTGTGGAAATGATGATGAAAACTGTCATGTAGTTCCAATATTATTTATGTAAGAAATTGAATAACTCACTGCTAATGAATTGAGTTAACTAAACTCACTCACTAACTCGCTGGTTCACATGTGAACCCGCTTGTACAAATTCATATTTCGTTGCCTGAGTGGACACATTTTACATTTTGTAGAAAACCAGTGTCTTAATCCCTTAAAACCGTTTTCACAACATCAAATATCAAAGGCTTTTTACCTCGACCCAAAGGTCGAACTTACGGGACTACCCCGGATGGGAGTGGGGTCTTCTCGTTTACCCACCACCTATTGTTCTAGGTGGGCAAATCACTGAAGCAGAATAAGCTGCTACACATTAGATGTCTCTTAGTTTTTGCTCCCCGTGAAATAAGGTCCCCTCCATTGTTGCTTCCCGTGAAAAAACGTCCCCTCCATCATTGTGATTCTCATAAGGTGTGACAAATACATGTAGAAAATCAATTTACGGGAGTATGGTGAAGAGCCCTTAGTAAAGGCGTCCTGGTCACTTATTGTCATGTTATCAAAACACTACCCAATGATCAAAGGGTTTTGAAACATCTGAAAGTATTAATTAAGTAAACATTGCGAGAGTATTTAAACAGCTCAAAGCATTACATAAGAAAACATCTCAAAGTACAGGTGAAAAAAACATCTCCATATTAAATAAGTAACAATCTCAAAGTATCAATTAAGAAAGCATTTCAAGAACAATACTCATTAATATGAAAAAAATAATGTATGGCCATTTTGACTTTTTTTTGTGTGGCCATTTTGACTAGTATATATGGGGTCAGTGTGGCCATTTTGACTAGGGTCAGTGTGGCCATTTTGACCTGTTCCCCCACCAAAGGGTTCAGCTGCGTGGATTATCTCCTGGTGATATGACCCGTTGCGACGTCTCCATACCCGACAACGGCGTCGGTAATATCGACCTGTGTCGAAGACAGACCAATGAACCCATGTCCTCATGTTATTGCTTTCTCGGAGCCTGCACTACGCCAGGCGTTCCTGCCTGTACCTGTCTGTGAAGGAGGGACGTCATGCAGATCGGACGACGTTCCTTCAGAACAGCAGATCGCAGTCTCCTCCTGGTGATAGTGGCGAAAAGGTTGGACACCACTCTTCCGGCATTCTCTTCCCACAGAGGTTACTCGAGTCATATCTTCCCACGTACGAAGATATGAGAGTAACCTCTGTGGGAAGAGAGTGAGTGAGTTTAGTTTTACGCCGCAATCTGCAATATTCCAGCTATATGGCGGCGGTGTTGGAAGAGAATGCTCTTCCGGATCGGTCGTGGGATTGCATCTTGCCAGATGGATCACAGTCATTGGTCTGTCTCAGTCTCCCGGGTACTGCACGATCATTTACTTCACCTGTGGCCACGTGCTTCATCACAATAACCAAGTGATTTACGTATTATATACAGACCAGTGCAAAAAGCATTCAGACACTTGACGTAATTTCCATAGACTTAGATGTTATTTCAGTGTAGCATAAATAATTTTCATGAAGCGAGTTTAGGATGGATCTTTGTAAAATTTGACAGTCAAATCTGAAATCATCTCTGCTCTGCGCACATAATTTCAGTTCAATTTTCCTATCACTATTTAACTAATGACATCACGTTTATCAACTTACGTATGGTTCCACAATGCACAATCCCATAGGCCGCCATGTAAAAGGAGTTCACGGCATTGTACATATGTTGATTAAATTGTTGCCATTCGATAAATAAGCAACGGAAAATTACACAGAAATTATGTGATTGCAGGTAAGGTGATTCCTCACAAATGTGCAAAATTTGACTTGGATCTTACGAAAATCGAATTCATGAAAATTATTTATGCTACACTTTAATCAACATGTAAGTCTATGGAAATTACGGTGTCCGACCACGTTTTGCACGACTCCATATGTTCACTTTAGCGCCGGTGATGCGACAGGGCTTCCCTGCGTCTTGCCTGTCAGTATCTGGCCATCGTGTATTTAAGTCAAGATCTTAACATGTCAAGAAAAGTTAATGTGTAGTACTCTCGTCCTGTAAATCAGTTTAGAAATCTATTGTACACATTCTGCAATTTTGTACACCAATGTGCTTGACAACCACCTCCGTGGTGTAGTGGTTAGAGCGTCCGCCCGGAGAATGGAAGGTCGCGGGTTCGATCCCCGACCGCGTCATACCAAAATACGTTATAATATGGTACTTGTTGGTCCCTGCCTGGCGCCCGGCATTAATGGGTACAACAAAAGGACTGGTCGGCTCGGAGTCAGTATAATGTGTCTGAGTGGGGTATTCATGCTTCACTGCGGCATGGTATCTCAGTGGACTAGCACTATAAAACCAGCTTAAGTCTGAGCTAGTACAAGCAGCCGCACATACACATACACACGCATGCACGTCGTCATATGAGTGAAATATTCTCAAGCACGACGTTAAACCCAATTTCACCTCACCTCACCTCACCTCACCTCACCCATGTGCTTGACGCCTTCGCAGCATGTCCTTCTCTGACCCATTCCGTTTGAGATATTGTGTGATGCGTTTGTTTTACATGTGCATTCCAAGTTTGACCAAAATTTTAAAAGTTGCCGTTGGATTCAGACCGATGTGTGTATTTGGTTACACCATGAAGACATGCCTCAGAAGATGATAGGCCGTTTATCACACATCTTTAAGGATGTGCTCATCCATAAAAGGCATGTCCAGTTCTGGAAAAGCTGAACAGTACGTTTCATTTTAAATTACTTGTTTTAACAAAACATTGAATAATGCTTTCTCGATTCCCTTGTAATTCTCAAGATGTCTTAAAGATAACATATGGATACAATGAATACGGATTAAAACTACCATTTTTTCAATATGAAAAAACGACATATAGCCCAGCGGATAAGTGATCAAATTGTGCACTTTGTGTTACAAGCATGAAACTTGGCATGATTGTAGCTTATACCATTCTAATTGAATAAAGATCGAGAGGCCTCGCAGATTTTTATATTTTCCATAATTT